TTTAACTAATTAAACAAACCACAACAAACAAAGAATAACAACACACTGAAGCATAGAAGGCTGCAAAAGCGGTAATTTCGGGCCAGTGGACTTGAACGTTTCAACAATAAATTTTTAGGCCCCTCCTGCACCACTTGCGATGCAAATTTCAACGGAACACAAGAAATGATGGCTGGTGAAAAGGGAGAGGAATTGGGTGCTGACATGGGGGTTGGATTGGCCTGGCGTACAGATCGGGGAGCAGGGGCTGACTGTTGTGGAGGACCGGGGCTGTGTATGCCACTCGACGTATTGAAGTATATTAATTAAAAACATTTTCATTTATTAGAAGAACAGTCAATGTCCAGGGAAAGGAAAGTCAGGCATGAGGTATCTGTATAGTGACTCTGTATCTTTTGTCTGTGCTATAATTAATAAAACAAGAAGGATTGGTATAAGTCTCTTACCAAAAAAAGACGAGTTTGGTAGCAGCTGTAAATGAGATGTCTAATTTTTAAACAGCATTTTCATGTAATATCGAGCTCTAAGCAATAATACTCAACCGACAGTGACTTTGATGCTCATGTAACCTTAATTTCAAAATATATTGTTAATTATGTTCCGATTTCAATAACATGTAGTAGAATAGAATATTAACCACATTTTTCTTCGCTAAAAGAGGACTGACCGGCATGCGCAGCGAAGGCACCATTCATTCTGCATGCTTAGTTCCAATTTTTCAGCTCTTTTTGATCCTGATCAGAAGATATAGCTTTTCAACTTTTCAAATATACCCAATTGATACAAAATGGAAGGATTTGTCAAAAAGCTTAAAAGGAAAGAAAGAAAATTCAAACTTTTTTTAAGTCCGTACAAATCTGAAGAATGCAAAAAAGATAGAATAGTAAAAACAATCAGAAAGTAAAAGTCTAAAGATTTTTTTAAGCTCGGAAACTAGTTTGCGTATAGGCCGAGTTTTATGAGTTGTAAGCCTCCGACTAAAGTTTTAATATCCTTTGATAAATAATATAAAGAAAGCCTGGCATTTGCATATGTCATTCAGAATTTTTTTTTAGGCGACAGCAATTGGTTCCATATCAGCGATTATCCTGCAGAACGGTTGAAAATCACCAATTTCTATCCAATCGAGTGCCATTGGAATCTGCCTACAAACCAAGCGTGCGATACTGCTTCCTACAAATTGGCCAATGCATGCCGTGCCCATGATCGTACGTAGTATGGGTGTAGGACCATAACATAAATTTAAATGATAATGGCGAAAACATACATGACCAGTTACTTTGTTGCTAATTACGGTATAGGACGACTTTACTCTAATTGAAATACAACACGTAGCGCACTCGACTTCTCAGTCCGCAGACCAGGCAGAATTTTCAGACTTTCCCGCTGAAGGCTGTGTACTGGAGACAGCTTTTGGGCTGTCTTCTGGCAGGTGAACTTGTTTCTCTTTTGGCGCTGCGCTAACCAGACACCATTTATCATTACGACCCGAACTGGGAAAACTAGATTTCTCTGTCGGCAACTGACCGAGTGGAGACCACAGCCACAACTTCCAAAGCTAACTCGAGGGGAGTCACTAAGCGAAGAGAGGCCAGAGAGTTTTGCGAAAATTAATTTTAATTACCCAGCAAAGTTGTCGCCGAAAACCCCTCTAGTGGCTGTCTTGTCAATTCTTCATAGACAGCTGATCAATAACAATTTTTCTGGCATTTCCGTTTCTAATTAAGCTCTGAGCTGTGGGCAGTGATCGTGCTAATGAAATCTTCCATTCCTTATAAAATATATAAAATCTCTAAAGTCTAGTTCCAGCTCATATTAAGAAGAAACGCTATAGTCGAGTGCCGCGACTATAAGATACCCCATACTGTTGTATACAATTTAAAAATATTAATTTTGCTAGTAGAAATTCACAAAGCGCCACCTTTTGTCAGAACAAGCATGTTGAGTAACTGATAGTGACGTCACTGCCCATGTGAGGCCTTATAACATACATTTCCTAATACACAGCATATTATGTTTCGATTTGAAAAATCTTTTGTAAATCGATATATATTGACAAAAAATGTTATGCAAAGTCAAGCGAAGATTTTCATAATAACATTATGGACGCCACAGTGTTCCGCAGTTTGTGGGCATTAGAGTTGGAGTGGTAGGATTCTGAAATAAACTTGCGCTTCGTTGGGACATCAAGAATCTTCATGCTTAATCTCAAATTTGTGTCTACTCTATGGCTTAATGGCTTAATCGACTAGGCTATTGATTCTGATCAAGAATATATATACTTTATAGGGTCGGAAACGCTTCCTTCACCTGTTACATACTTTTTAACGAATCTACTCAACGAGTAACGGGTATAAGAATCTTAGTTAGTTTCCCGATTTTCATGAGTTATATTATTAAATAAATATTAAAATAATTTTTTTTTTTATATCATATTCTAATAACTTTATAAATACTGTTTGAAAGGTCTAGAGGTATAGAAAAATAACAAATATTTCTACTGAGAAATTAGACAGACAGACGCACAAGCCAATTGGAATCATCTTGGGATCCTAATAAAGATTTTAACTTAATTAATTAACTTAATTAACAGGTATTTAAAAATATAATTTACAACAATTTTTTAAATCCCTACGATTTATTTCTACTACATGTAAGCAATTGTTATGAAAATAAGACCCACCCTTTTTCCTTTTTTTAAAATATTTATTCTTACAGAACATGACTGTCATTGACCTTGATCTTGAATATATTTATAATTAGGTAAATAACTATTTCAAAGTAGGCTGGATAAACATCGTCAGATCAGACGATCAATACACATCAATCTTTCTCTTTTTCAAAATATAAGACTAAATCAACATGAATTTGCGACAATCAAATAAGATCAGCAAAGAAGCATTCCCTACGCTACACCCTTCCAATGAAAAAGGCGCTGGGATCAGCATTGAGTCGACTACTAAAAACCTAATAATGGTCAGGAATCGCCTCAATGCGATCGCTGAGCACTTTCAGAAATTGGACAGAATAGTGCTGCGACTTAGCATGTCGAAGATTTTGGAACACACGTCTAGCAAAGTCGCCCGAAGTCATCCTCTTTAGGTACCGCATACTCTCCAGAACCAAGGGACAGCAAAATTCAATTTCTTCAAATACTTACCTTGTGGAGTCTCTCTCACAAAGGCTTTGTTCAAATTAGATGTATTATTTGATGGGAAAAAATAAAATTATTGAAGTACAAAATCGAAATCATCAGAAACGCCCAAACAAGGATGCATGTGTTGGTATAAACTAAAGCTCTTATATCTGCGCATTATAGCTCATCCTTGATATCTAAGAAATCGTGTATTTAAATTGCAAAACCGTCTTTGATTAGTTGAGTTATGTACTAGGCACATTTTTTTAAGCCACTTTATAAATTGATTCCACGGAACCCAGAATCCAGAAGCATTTTGGAACCTTAATGATATAAAATTATTAATTTCTAACCTTCGACTGTTCTCTCCAGACATGTTTAAAACTAGTTAAATGAAGATTCTATATGCGACTACTACCATGCTTATAGAAATGTTGACTAAATTAATGTACTATTAAAGGTAAACCAGAAAGTAACTTTATAGTAAGTAGCTAGTGGATTCTCGACTTTCAAGCTCTCCAAAATCCTTGGCCAAGATCATTAATCTTGCTTTCTTGTTGCTCTTCCTCTATTTTGATCTTACTTTGCCAATTTCGCTCTCTTTCTGCGTTTATCTCCTCCTCCAGCACCCACAACAGCCAAAGGTGACCAATAGCAGCGCGCACATTGCAATAGCTTTTTAACGGATTTCACTTTTTAGCCATGTCCCCTTATTGTAATTGCGAGTTTGCACTCAGTTCCTTTAACATATTTCCAGTGAAGAGCCGTGAGAGCATTGTTGATAATACAACGACCTCGAACTTCGGCCGCTGCTTATCTTGGCGATGGTAGTTATTGGAAGTTGGTAGTTACAACTTTGGCTGGCAAACAAATGGTCAACTTCGATAACGGCATGTCTTGTCTGGTGTCAAACTCACAGATGCATTTCTCACCAGAAAACTTTAAAGAAAGTTTTCTAGGGTCCAAGAGCAAATGCAGTACTCTGATGTTAACTGCAGTGACGAACGAACTCCAATATCATTTTTTGCCTAATGTAAGAGGAATATCGCATGCGATTTTTTCCATCATGAAGTACAACGAAAATCAATAAATATTTTTTTACCAGCGCACTTTCAGAGAGCAAGAGGAAAAAGAGAGTGATGAAAAAAGTGCTGCACTCAACCCTCCAAAATACTGCAACCGTATTTGTGTGCACTGTATTGGGAGCATTCCGCTCTCACTAACACTACATAAGTGTGCATACCTGGAGGTGGAAAGGAGGAAAGTGAGCTCCCCACAGAGAGGCTCTCTTGTTCCAACGGCGAAGGCGACAGCGCTGCAACTGCGACGCCTGCTCTCGAAGTCTAAATTTCAAGTTCGTCTCCCGGCAATCCCTGCAATCTATCCTGGCAGTGGGTTTTCGTCGCGGTTAGCTTCGATTTCCACACCGCTCCCTGCATTTTCCACACCACTCGCACGTCGAGGAAACGGCGGAGAACAAAAACGAAGCAATAAATACGAAAGACTGCACAACAAAGGGACGTTCCTCTACCTGTTCCCGCTTCCCGTGCCCATGCCCGGATCCTTGTTCTGGTTGAAAACGAAACCGGATTTCTTTTTGGTCGATTTCTGCCCACTCCTGCACTTTGTTTTGCTGCCCTTTTTAGAAGTTCTGCGCTCTGAGTTGTCTCGTGCTGCGAGCTGGCTCACTGCCTTTTTTCGCATTTTGCATTCGACTGAGCTTTCGGAATGCAGTTTTATTTTATTTTGCCTCCCTTTCCAGGCGCTTCTTGCTTTCTTTGCTTGTTTATGTTTATTTTCGTTCTTGTACTTCTTAGCCTGATTCACAGTTTCCGTGCAATGTTTTGCATATTTGCGTAGTGGACAGGTTTTACTTTTATTTATTATTTGTTTTGTTTGTTTTATTTTTAACTTTTCGCGACTTGCCAGCCAAAAAGAGAACTAAGAAATCTTTTGTTTTGGTTTTGAAACGAAACTGGTTTTCTGAGTCAGTTGGTTGCTTGGCCACATCCACATAGTGGGGCGCTTTAAGAATTGGCTCCTCTTAGCGCAACTTTATGTCGAATAAAAAGAAGCATTTTGAAGATCACATATTGATGCCCCTGGACTTTCAGAAATTTTGATTATTTTGCCCAGGAAAGATTACGACGTAGTACTCCAATATGAGTATGACAGATTCTGCAAATAAGGACATAAACATTGAAATCGGATGATCATATGGATTATCGAGACTCTCGTACCTCTCTTACCTGTAACATAGTATCTTTGGGTAATTAAGAGATTAATTCATTTTATTGCCTATCTCTATCTTCAACCTTCCACAAAACTGAACCGGCTACCTGAAGCTTAGATCAATAAATGCTTCTCTGCGGGATCGTGATATCGGTTATGCGAATCGATAGGCATGCGGGCCATGTCCACGTTATAAAGCCGAAACTCGACATTTCGGCGCCGCAAATTAAGAGTGACCACAACGCAATAGAGGAGCATCTGCAGATGCTTGGCCAGTAGTAAATAGGAGGCGCCCATGTCGTCTGGAAAGAGTGGTTGGCCCCACGCGGAACAGTCGAACAGAAAGTAGCCACCATCACGGCTAGAGGAGCGCCCGAAGGAGAAGCGCCGCTCCTGACACTCTAGCACGCCGTATTGGTACCGCGTAAAGAAGTAGTTGAGGCCCTCCAGCAGACTCATGGCGGTACTGGCTGGAGCACTGTAAACATGTCCGAAAGCCACCAGCTCCATTTGCACCAGGAACCGAAGGTCCTGAAACTGGCACTCATGGCACATATCGTCCACACCCAGTTGGTGGTCCCAACGCTGGCTCTGCTCCACGCTGGCGCGATAATACCGGTCACCGTTGACCACGATCGCGTCAAGGATCTTCCCGCTCCACTCGCCAAGACGCCGGAATGAGCTGGCCACACAGCATGCCACCACGCAGCATCCCAGCGTCTGACGCCCTCGGACAGACCCGTCGAACCAAGGTGCCTTCGGATGCAGACCGCCCCACAGGGACCACAGCCGGCCTTCCACCTCCACGTCGAAGTTCCGGCACAGAGTTGCGTTGCATTGCCTCTGGTCGCCCTCCGCGTTGCGACTCAGCCGACGGCTCCAGATGGGCAGACAGTTGTACGGCGTCAGCCAGGTCATTGACTCGCTCCGCGCAGACAGCGGAGCGGTCTGCCTCAACTGCCTTAAAATGCAGCCGGTACTGACACACTTCTTTCTGTACATTCTCTAGCTGCAGCCTGTTCTCCTCCGGCAGAATGTAGAACTTCGGTGATGGAGTACTCTCTGGGACCAGGATGTCGTGCACGAAGTTGAGGCTTTGTTTGGGCCACATTACGGTAGCGTGGTGGTCAGTCTGGAGCGGAGTACATTCCGCTAGGGTAAAGAGTTAAACATTTACCAATTTTGGAGGAGTGGTCTGATCAAAACTATGACACTGTTTCTCAAATCAGGGCCTACTTCCTGCCCTCTTTAGAGTTCCCCCCAAACGATATAAAAAGGACTATAAAAGATTAAAAGGGAGATAGAAGTAAATTTCCTATACTAATACATATTGACATTTGTTGAGTAACGCAGAAGTCTTGAATAAGGAACCAAAGCCAACACATTGACAATGAATTAAAATGTGGCTTCTAACTTCGATCTTAATCTTCCTTACTTTTACAAGTTTATAGGGCGTTAGCACACTTAACTTGTATCATTCAACCGTTTAAAATGGTTTCCTGGCTTGGGACTCAAGCATTAAAGTAAATGCTTTGAAAAAAATCAGATACCATTTTCCATATTTGTTACGATTTAACTTCTCTATCCCGCAACTTCCGGAAATCTTAAGGGCAAGGGCACTCTCAAGCACTTATTTACTTTTTTTTACTTTGTAAGCACGACGCAAAGCGAAGGAAGCCTAATATTATTTATGATGTATTTATTATTACAAATGCGTTTATAAACCAATCGCTGAGAACACAAGGAAAAGCCACTGGCTCACTCTAATGATACCAAATACAGACATGGGCATATTGGTTAATTGTTCGAGGGAGCAATGAGGTCGCTCTGGTTTTCCGGACTTAGGCCTCGATTAAACAATTGCTCTTTGGCACTTCGGAACTCCACTTCCAATTGGCTAAGCCGTAGTCCTATCCCGTCGCGCATCATCGAAAGCACCACCACGTCCCGGTCCACTCGCTTATTGGAAATTGAACTGCGGTCGAACTGGTCGCAAAACACATCAAAGGAATTGTCCAGGTTAAGCATCTTGCATTCGAGACCTCTGATGGTGCCCCGGAGGTACCTGGCCCGACTGCTGATGTCTTTCAAGGGCTTACTAATGTCAGCTGATTCGGGTGCAGAGTAGATATCAGCTAGCCCAGGTAAAATATGTTTCTCCTGATCGCCAGTGCTCACATAATACCTATGTACTTTTAGAAGGTTGGCCCTGAATTGACCCCAGTCCACACTGTCCGGGTCTTTCTCCATTCCAGAGGTAAATTGATTGATTTTGCTGATGAGCCCAGAGATTTCATCGTTCCGATCGACCACCTCTAGTTGAAGGTTTGTCTCTTCGTCATTGACCGAATGGTCCATAAATTCGGATTCCTCCGGATCATCCTTAGTCACTTTATCCTTAAGCTCAGATTCAAAAATCTGATCAGCACTATCTTCAGTAGGCTGCATTAGGCCCCTCTTAAAAAGTGAGGACAGGAATAATTGAGGATCGCACAAATTTTCACTCCTACCTGAATCAGGATTTCCTTGACACTCTTTGCCTTAGAACTTAGCTTGACCATGAATTCGTTACGCATTTCCTTCACTATTTCAGCTATGCCCCCGCGATCCGTTGACCTGGACAAAAGTTCGGAATAGTCATCTACCTCATCCTCGTCGGTGGGCATGTCCAGAGAATCATACTCGATCAACCCCTTCTGCGAGGTGGGATTTCAGATTACCCACCATTCACCCCTCGTGGCCGTACTAACCTCTACAAGCAGACCCAAGTGTATGGCGTCCGGACTAAGTTCGATTTGATTATCCACCTCATCCCCGGGTGGCGTTATAGTCTCTTGGCTCAAACTCCGCTTCAGTGTGACCAGGCTTGCTGACGATTTAACATTATCCCACGGTTCGAACCCCTCCAACTCCATCAAGGCATCGTCAGTGGGCAATTCACGATCCGATTCCATTTCACCGAAAATTTACAGATTAACTAAGCTGGAAAAAGCTTAAAAAAATCACTAAAAATTTGTGCTAACCCTTCTGATCTGACAGTTGACACAAGGCCTCCTACCACTCTTCTCAAATAGTAGGTCGGGAATGTGGATGTGGCTGAGATCGTGATAACCAGTCCAGAAGCACAGAAAACGGAAATTAACTTCGCGTTTCTGTAACGCATTAGCGCAACCATTAATTTGAGGCATCGTAAACACGTCGTAAACTTTGCTCAGGCAAACTTAGGTCTTCATTTTCTATAGAATGCAACAGACAGGCAACTCCAGTTTTCAGTGCAACTGCAACGCGTAATTACAGACCATTAAATTAGCTGCGTTCGCTACGCTGCTGCTTCTTTTTCGTACTTGGCGCATGTAGGATAAGTGCCACTTGCCACTTGCCTCTTTTCCTTCCAAGTGATGGCTCGCTTTGATGAAAACGGTTCGCATTTCTCTCTGCTGTCCCTAGGTGGCATGCAACAGTCTTTGTTGAGGTGTAACCTGTATGCCCAAGGGTATATATTTTACCTCCATACACCTGCAACAGCAATTGTGATTTTTATGCAAAAGAACGATTGAAAACATTTACATTTGGCCAATTGAAAGAAGTTGGATCATTCATTCGAAAGATCCGTAGTAGGGTAACCCAATTCTCGAGCTACTATGGCTGTTCCATCGACTTGAATTAAAGATTGAAAATATCAATGTCTAGAGGGCCAAAACTATCTACTATTACTAATAATCACTACTATCACAAATTAAGCTTATTATAGAAATAAGAGCAGTTTAAATTTTGTAAAATAAAAATTAATGGAGTCAAAAGATTTGAAGAAGATTTATATTGGCTTTTTGACAAATCACTTAGACGACATTAAGACTCCTTAAATGAAAAATTGGGGTTTGTGAGCATCGCTCCGAGCTATAAAGTGAGTTATTATTTATTATTTTTATTTATTCGACAATATATTCCAAATATATATATATTAAATGAAAGACTATATCAATTCAATAAATTTTAAATACCACTTATAAAAACATTAAATAATCAGCTTTATAAAAAACAATCAACAAACGTAAAACAAATTCCTTAATAAAAAACATCATAATGACAAAGCTTTTTGTTTAATAATCAAAACAAAATATGCAACTTGTAAAAAAAACTTTTTTATTATTAATTAAACAAATTCCATTATGTGATTTGCATAAAAAACGAAATGAGAAATGGTTAGGAATAATAGCAATCATTATAAAGCATCAATTGCCAGCCAGTCACCGAGGCATTAAGACTCATCTAATTAGTTTTTGCTGACACTCTCACTCCGTTTTCTGCGATTTGTTCAAACACTCGATGGGCCTCCCAATCCAAAGAATGTGGAAAAGATGCCTCCTCCAGAAACCTTTTGATTATTTATTCCCAGAACCGAACTTGGCTATCTTCAGTCTGGTGGAGAAAGGTCAGGGATCCAGCCGAACTCATGTCGTGCATTGATAAATTCCCTGGACAAGAGTTGACATTGTTCCCATGTTCATACTGATTGACTGCGTGCAATGAGGTACACAGCTTCCGGGTGGAAAGAACAGCCTTATGTAAGCAGCAAAAAGTCAAAGTTCGAGTACACAATTTATTTCTGCATAACCTCATTTGATTGCCAAAAAAGTTGACAATTTTGCGTTCCAGGCAGGTTGGATTTAAAGCAAGTTTTATATCATTCGTTGAAAAATGTGTAGCAGGTAGAAAAAAGTGTTTCCGACCGTATATATATTCTTGATCAGTATCAATAGCGAAGTCGATTGAGCCATGTCCGTCCGCCCGCCCGTCCACCCGTCCGTGTGAACGCTGAGATCTCAGGAACTATATCAGAAACTTAGAGATACAGAGTTGCGATTAAGCAGACAGATTTTTGGGGTCCATACGCAGCGCAAGCTTACTCAGCATCCTGCAACGCCCACTCTAATGCCCACAAATAACGAAAAACTAAAAAACATGAAAAACTGATATCTCGGTAACTTTAAGTGATAGAATGTTCGGATTAAGCATGTAAGTTTTTAAGATGCCCAAAATGCGAATTATTTTTTCCCCATCTAGCCGCGCCCACCCTAACTCCGACAAACCCCGGATAGCCAAAAATGCAAAACTCTCGGGAACTATATTTTAGAGATTTCACTGAAACTTTCCACAAGTTTTCATCGCGCCAAGCTATCTCTAACGCCCACAAACCGCGAAAAACTGTGGCGTCCATAATATTATAGTGTATGTCTTCGTTTGACCTTGTATAACACATTTTGGTCAATATAAATCGATTTACCAGAAAATTTTCAAATCGTAACATTATTTCGCTACTTACGAAGGCGCAGTGACGTCACCATCAGTTAAGTAACATGCTTTATCTGACAATAGGTGGCGCTTTGTGAATTATCATTAGCAAAATGAATATTTTTCAATTGTGTAATACAGTGAGGGGTGTCTTATAGTCGCGGCACTCGACTATAGCGTTTCTTCTTGTTTTATTTTATTTTAGCTTCGCTGCGTTCCATTTCGTTTGCAGCGCCAATTGGCCTACCAAACTTGAAAATTGATATCAGTCGCAGCAGCAACCTGTTGCCAGTTGCCAGTTGCCAGTTGCCAGTTACCGCAACAACAATATAAGCCAAAACCCGATGTTGTGGCGGCTTGTTGGCAAATATTTCAGTGTCGCCCACGTGGTGTCATGAACTTGCCAATCGATTGCAATGAAAACAACAAGGTGGAGAAATTTTGTTGTGGAAAGTCAGAGAAGGCTTTTCTCCTGAATCTAAATTGAAGGGCAGTCGAGTTTAAAGGGAGATCTCGACTTTACTAACCATATTTGTCAATTCAACTAGTAATGTTTCTTTTTAATATAATTAAGGTTTGAAGTTTTGTACAAATGTATCTTTAAAACATTTCTAACAAATGTACATGCAATATTTATAGTGTATATGTGTAGAGCACCTATCTTTATTGTTTAAATATATTAAATGTGCCAATACTCACTTTTATATAAAGTGAGATTTTCTTTATTTTTAATTGATTAAATGATATTGATATTTCTTACTTTTTATAAAGTAATCTTTAAATTGTATTCGTTCAAAAAGTATATGAGAAGTAAAAGGACTTATGCATACATATGTACTGTCAGTCTAGATCCACAGAAATGTCGATCTAGCCCGTCCGTACAAACGTGAAGATCTCTGGATTCTAGTTATGCACACGGAACATATTGACTTGAAATCGGGGAGCCCTGTGAAGGCATGATAGAGGCTAGTTAGTAGGCGGAATGTAAAACCTCGAGAAATAAACTTTGATAAAAGGCAGGCACCTAAACACTAAAGGGAAAATGGGTGAATAAGAAGTAATGTTACAGTAATTTTTATAAGTCACCTTTTTGAAATAGTTAAGGATAGAAAGAATTGCAAAAAAGAACGGCAATGGACACCAAACAGATCCACGAGCTCATGAATAACCATAAGAGGCAAATGCTAATGAAATGCCATCCACCGGAAAGAAGCCAAGCCAGCGGTGACAATGGTGCCGCGAATCCTGCCATAGGTCTCAAGTGTCAAGCTACCGGAGACGGTGCACACTTGAGTTAACACGCCGCCGGCGGAGGACACGTGGCCAAGTCAACGCTCCATTGACCTCCTGGCAAGTGGCTAATTAGTGCTGGCCCACTCCCCTCCGCACTTCCTGGAGAAGTCGCTCCGCGGGCTAGCAAATCGGAATGCCAGCTGATTTGCATTGGATCAGAGCGATTCTCCGTTGCTTTGACGTGTTGGAGATAGCAGCTATTAGGACACGTAATAATGTATACATATATGTACATGTGTATGTTGAAAATGGTCGATGCAATTTTAGAATTATCGCATGTACCTTCGAATTCCAAACACTCTTGCGTGTAAGCTAATTGCAACGCTGCATGTTCCAGGCTTGTTTCAGAGGATGAGTCTTCTATTGGTGATCAAAATCAGCTTAGGAAATAAGTCTAGTGTGGACATGCCTGTTGTCAGTGGCGATAACAGACACATAACACCAGGCCATCCACGTATGCCTGCTTCTCCGAAATTTGTCAGCGGTCTTGAATGGTTGCTGGTTGGGTTTCAAAGTGGCATCTGGACGCGGGGACCCCAAGCCCGTCCAAATGCAATTATCCTAGCCCAGTGCTTCCGCATAGGCCCGCGCCGTTAGTTACCATGACGGACAATAACTCCCTGGACCTAACCCAAATACCGACGCATTGTCTGGCTAATGAGCGGGCTGCATTCCTGCAACTCACGCAGAAGTGTGCGCAACTTTAATTTCCAGCGCCATAAATCAAACCGCGACCCGGCCAGCTCCAGTGCGAAGCCTTTCCCTTCCAAATGAAGTAGTTACCAGTGACCATCGAACACCGGACAGGTGGAAATCCGCGAGCCATCCATTCATCACCATCAGCATCGTCGCGGTCATGATGCAGGGAATTCAATTCACGCCCGCCAGGAATGCTTTTCAGAGACCAATCCCCAGTCCTACACAGAGAGAAAATGTGTAATATCATAGAATCTAACAGGGAGCAGCAATCAATACTGATTTGTACAATTTTATAAGAAAAACCAAATATTACCACCCATATTACCATATTAAGAAAGTTGGATAAAAGACTTAGATATGATATATCAACTCCGTCAAGTGATCCTGATCAAGACTCTACTTTGTACATACTTTTAAGCAGATGCAGTATACTCTTTTATTCTACGAACCGATGGTATAAAAAGGCTTTTTGTAGTTGAGCACATAATAAACTCAGTTTAGATCATCAACATTCTCTCCGTGCATTTCCAGCCCCAGTCTCAAACCCAGTCCCCCCTGCGCCTCGCATGAGGCGATAATTAGTGGGCAATTGTCGTTACGCCGCCTTTGTCTATATCTGCCACATTTCCATTTGCGGGAGATGGGGATTCTGAGTCAGCAGATCGTCGTCGGCCAGGAACGTGACAAGCAGCACAATTGCCGTCAGACTGCAGTCAGGTGGGATGGGATGATCATCTCCAATACAGTACAGGACATAATATTAATATTGCGCCCCAAGTTCCCTGTTCGCCTGGTGGGTGCATAAATCATGAAATAAAAGTCACTAAAAGAGAAAATAAATCAAGTGATAGCGCATGGAAACCGGGCGGGCATTAGAGAAATCTCTGGCCAGGCTACCAACTACCGTAATTTCGACCAGACCGAATATTAATTGTGAGTGCGCGTAGCTCATCAATTAAGAGCAAAAATCGGAATGAACATGAAGCTGGAGGATGAGCTTGGGCAGAAGCAGAAGCTGGATATGAGTCTATATCTGAAGCTTGGGCAACGACGCATGCGTGGACGCTGGTGCGGCCTCCGATTGCCTTGAAATATGGCGCCCAGTTTTCGCATGGATGTTTATTTTCTGCAATTCCGAGAAGTGCAAGAGCAGAGACTTGGGCGGCAGACTCGATTTGTGCAAATTAACCCGGATGCTTGGTAGCTGGGGAGCTGGTGCATGCCAGCAGGATTAGAGTTCGCCACAATTATGTAGCCATTCTGGCCGAGATTACGCACAAACAATGCTATGGAAAACCAATTTCGGCTTGCAAATTGACTGTGAGTTTCACCAATTAACAATGACTGAACGCTAATCTAAACGGTTGCCCGGTTGCACCAACAGATTTTTATTCGTAGATGCCGGCACATGCTAATGACAACATACATAAGTATCTCTCTCCTTCCCGACCCAAAAGTGGTTTTCTCTATCCCATAGCCTGACTGCCAAACACCGACTAGTGCCTTTTAAGTTTGATGACACTGGTGGATACCTCCCATCGGCAGCGGGTAAGCGGTGGCAAAAAGTGGCAAATGTAATTTAATAAATTAATTACATCAATTAGCTGCTGCATTTTTATTGAAATTGCTGTAAATATTGGGCCAGACAACTCGGGCAGCCAGTGGCTGCCATTTGGCGGGAATTTATTGGGCATTTCTCATCGCTATTCGCTGGAGGAGGGCCTAACTTATGCCGAATTTATTTTTGCGACGTGTTCCAGGGGAGTGTCCTACTGGCATGGACCAAATGAAGGCGCTTTGTATTGATTAGCGAGCGGCGATCCGGACAAATGACTAAGTGCCTGGCCGGCCAGGCCACGCGATCTAAAATAATTTTCTAGTGGGCCCCATATAGCGACCCGATCAGTGGGCAGACCATTATGTCAAAAGCCCCATTCCTCCGAGTCCCAGAGGCCCCCGCCGGAGCAGATGGCTTAATTTACGTTTGTCGGGCGTGGACGTGACTAAACTATTACAACCGCGATATGCATAATCAGGTGGCCACTGACCACTGACCACTGACCACCGCAAAATGACCAAATAAAATGGCGAGCCCAACCGAGGTATATTAGAACATTGGCTGCATATTGATTTGGGGCCGACTGCACTAGTCGTCAGGTGCATCAGGTGATTCGAGCTTCTGCTTTTGATTAGCTTTTTGGGTCAATGTCAAAAATGGTTTTGGGAGAAGACACTGTCCGAATCCTAAACAGATCGTATAAAGCTCGATCTCACCGCCCAGCGCCACATAGTCATCGCAATGGCACTCAGCTCGACGGTTATCTGCCTCCTAGCAGGCCTCTCTCTCTTCAATATGGTGTGTGGGGATGTGCGCGTGACCACGCAGCCGCTTAGGGCGGCCTCCTACCCCGCAGCCGGCTTTAAGCCAGCAAGACAGTTTGGCCTGCCGGCGCAGCCTAAGACCGCTCGCTTGGTGGACAACAGCGAGGCGCAGGAGGATCTCGACGATGCCGCCGAGGAGGTGGATGTGGCGCGGCCCAAGGCAACTGTGCCAGGCCCAACTCCCGCTCCAGTACCAGCGTTCGCGGTGGCTCCCACCATTACATACTATCCGGCCGGAGCTGTGACATTCATCAAGCCAGCTCCGTTTGCCAAGTTCATCGCCGTTCCGCCCCACTTCTATACCAAATACTTCGGCTAGACTACAGAGAAATATAATTAAAATGCATCAAATGATTAAATTTGCAGTGTTCAAATCAATAATTACAGAATTTAAATGTTTATTAACAGGAATAAGGCTTTCAAATCAAAAACAAAACAAACTCTCCATTTATGGGTTTCTTGAAAAGACAAGATTATTAAAAAGAGTACCTAAGCAGAATTTGTGTTTTACAGATATTATAGAAAAATGAACCCTGGGGGACTTTCAAAGTCTCAAAGTACTTTTCTTTTGAATAATTCAAAATATTTACCTTTTAAGTTTGAATTTTACTTATTAACTTCATCGAATTATGGCAATGCAAAAAGGATTGAAAATAATAAAAATTCAAGAACAGTCCGGTTAGCAGAGTTTTAATTATCCGCCCGCTCACTCGCATCTAGCGATCGGAGGCCATGGGATTAGGCCGTTCCATCAACTTACCAAATGATCCAACGATTCTCGGCTCGAAAGCTGCTTACCAAACGGTAGGCTCTGTCTGCCTGTCGGAGCCTAACGATTAGTAGGGAGGAGACTTGGAAGGGAGGGTCGGTGGAAGCGCAGCAGCTCTGACAATGAGTGAGCAGAGATAATCTATTATGACCATAAAAAGAAATAAATCCCAACTCGGTAATCCATCATTTTACGACTTGGTAATCAAAACAAGGAGTTTAACTAAGAAATGGACTCCCAGGCCCCAAGGACGGATAGAAACACAGGCAGACGGCTGACCAATCAACGACAACACACATAGTTGGACAGGCTAACGAACAGGCCGATGGTCATGTTAGCGCTAACCAGAAACAGACCACAACCAGGAAACTCAGAACATGACTTTTGGACAGCCACGTGTGGATCGAGGCCAATCTGAAAAGAGGACTCGGCCGGGATGGCAGCGCTGGGCCTTTTTGGGGCTCAACTAAATAGTTGCGAATAATCCGTGTCGAAACCGATCGGATTGCCGTTTATGGTAATGGGCGAAATTAGATGCCGAAATGCGCGGCGGGCTGCAAGGCTTCATTACCAATGCACAAACTTGGCAGTGCGTCGCAGTGATTGGCCACGGTTACCGTCCAGCGTTTTGCATTATTATTGCTTCATCAAGCAGTGACTGACCAGTCGGCAGCGGCAGAGACCCGACCCCTGAGGCTGAGGGCATTGCGAACTGCTCAAACATTTTCGAAATCGCATTTAGAGGTGAAGGTGCAACAGTTGCTGGCGTATCTGATGTCGGTGGCCCTTGGGGCGCAGTTAAAGGGCTTAACTGGGCGGCAGGCTAATTAAAGGAAAATATGGGTTAGGTTCGAGCACAGCGCCGTTTCGCGCTTTAAGCTAGTAACCTAAACTGGTCAGCACGGGAAGGCTAAGTCCTGCTTCACAATGCACTCGTAGAAAATTCGTCTATATTTATCTTTCTTGCCTGATTTATAAATTACATCATTCAGGGTATCATTGACTGACAACTAACATTCAAAATCGTTTTATTACCACTTAGATATTCCACTTTATATAGACAAATATATTAAATATATCAAAGAACTAAGAGAAATTTGGAATTTATTGAAGTTGTTTTCTCATTAACGGATATATTGTGTGGATCTTATTTGGCCTTCTCTATTATCGTAAATTGAGTATTGTTGTTGTGTTATATTGTTAGTCGTATGAAATGAAAAATTTATTCGTTACTGGCATTCTATATAAAACTGCATGAGAAGCGCGCCCAACATCCAAAGTGGAAGCTCTATTCGACAGGAACTGTCCAACATTTTTAGCAGAGCAGTCTGTCAATATCTTACATGTGGGAAATACAAATATTTACCCTGTCAAACGCTGCCTGCTAGATGATAGGCTAATCCAACACTCGTTCTTCTTCCTGACATTTAGATGCCTGATGTTAATACAATACCTTAGCTTGTCAAAAGCTGCCTGCTACATGGCCCAAAAAACAACTTCTTGAGAGAAAGAAAGAACTTGCACATCGCTCTCTGTTTTGCTGTTCCACGCACTCACACGTCACCAGATTCCGAGAACCATCAGCAACAGTTGGATCAGACTAAGATGCGGCAACTAAAGGGAAAGGTCAAAGAGACTCGCAAGCAGAAGAAGGAGCGGAAGCTGGACAATCTGGAGAACCAGGCCAAGATCCGGACCGTGGTGCTGCCGGCTGTGGGCGTTCTGGCAGTCTTCCTAGTGCTATTCGTCTACCTGAAAACCCGCCCGGCGGTCCTATCCTGATGTAGCGGAGCCCTAGGCATAAGTTTTAGTTTAGAATCAATGAATACTACAATCCGATTCAATATTAACACATCAATGTTGTTTCTTTTGAAAGGGAGAAGTTTATGTATGTTTTTTTGGGTACCGATACCTATTTTTAGTGGTTTCGAATAAAATTAGTTGGTGCTTCACTATATTGACGACCAAATTCTGACAGTGTTGGAAAGTTTTCAATGTTTGGCGGTTAAATCAAAAAGTTAAAACAATAGAGAACGGCTATACCCAAAGCAGAAATGGATAAATAAATAAATATATTTATAAAAACTGGTGGCAACCTCAAACAGGTTTTATTTTTGGCCAGTTGCGCATTGCTTTCTCTTGCGTTGCCCTTGCGTTCGTTTCATTATCGCTCGTCGCGTGTATAGCTTACATTCGAAACTGAAAACCGTAAAAAATAGTTCATATTTCTGCAGTTATCTGGAGAAAGTGCGTTATCAGAAACACCCGATTATCTAATCACCGCAGAGAAGCTACAATCGCAGTGGGCCAGTCAGCTGCTGTCAGGCCAGACTCTCGCTAGCCCGCTCCCACTCTCAGCTGAAACAACGCGCTCTCTCGCGCCTCCTGACGTTTCTTTTGCACGTTCTCATTTTTGCTAAGATTCTCACACTGGCGGGTGCGGGCGACAAGGGCTCCTTCAACTATTCGACGATGCTCAAGTTTTTGGTAAGTTTTTTTGAGCTTCAAGCCTTTGTTTTATGTGGAGCATAGGATATCCCCAAAAACATAAGGTTCGTACATAACTCTTTGGAGATTAAAGATACAAACACAGCTGTCAGCTTTTTGCGGCAATGACTCGCTGCTGCACAGTGGGCACATCTTAACCAACAAACGAAAATCAATTATTATGATAATACGAAAATAAGTTTAAAATAACTTGTTCATCCTTTCCTAGTGCCACGCAAAAAATATTTATCCAGGCTAGAACTTCCAAACCCGCTATTATAAAAATGTAGGCTGAAATAGTATATTTCTAAAAGAAACAATTATTTTTGTAGTTAAAAGCTATGAAAAATTCCTAGTAAACATAAAGAATTAATGTTAGTAATGTTAAATAGATCGTAAATCTGCAAACTGCAAATTTATCTTACAGTTCGCGCGATTAAACAGGGTTTTTGTATATATATGTACATATAATCAAAAATCAGAACATTTTTTTAATATGAAAATTCATGGAATGTGAGTCTGCTTTGCTCAGTGTGCGGTGGTTGGTCAGGTACACTTCTGTGTACATATGCCAAAGTATTCGCTTGGATTTGTGACATTAATGATATTCAAGGTTATATAAGTCTTATATTAACCAAAACAATCAACTCTTCCTTGAAAATCAAGTCTAAAACTTACATCAGGTGTACACAAATCCAAACCCATCAAAATTCGAAAATCAACACGAACCTCTCAAAATTACTTGTTTGCACTCTAATGGAAGCCAAAATGAAACTATTAGGAATTGGGGCGCAAGTTTTAAAGTTAAAAACCAGAGGGCAGAGCCGATCCGCAAAAAACTGCTGCCCACCTGAAGTAGAGGTTCCCTTGCCGTGCTGCCCCAAGAAACGCTTTTGGACCATCAAAAGGGTGCTGTTCTTCTCTACGGTCAGCATGAGATGTCCTCTCCCTCGAGAGGGTCAATCCGCATTTTCCCTCGAACAACTATAATGAGGATCTCACTCCACCACCCATTGTAATATTTATATTGTCTTTATTCCAGTTAACATTTGGCGCCGGTGCTTATACGGGTATCTACATCTCACAAAACTATGAGGTAAGCTAAAGGTGAACCGTTAAATTAAAAAGGATCTTTCTAATCCATCCATTTCGTTCAGGTTCCCCGGGTAGATGATCCGCAGAAGTTGATACAGCGTCTCAACGAGAAAGTAAAGGAACTGGTGGACCAAAGCAAGAACAAGTAAAATCATGTGTACATTTGTTCATTGCGAGCGTTACTAAATTGAAATAAATCTTTTGAGCGGTCTTCTATAATTAAAAAAAACGTATTCCTATGATTCCTAAGAAATCTTTAATATCTTTAATGTACCTTAATTAGGAATTTGAATAGCTGTTTTGTTTTTGTTCATTATAAAGCTTCGGCTTATAAAAAGTCAACCAGCTAGAGGAAAACATAATACCTATAAATAGCTGCAATTGTTTACCATTGTAAATGTGGGGACCAAGTTCGAATTAAGATGGCTTGAATACGTTAACAATCACCATAACTTTTATTCCATGTTGAACCAATTGTTCAATTGAAACCAAATAATAAATACAATGATACTTTTTTTCGCAGATCACCCGGCGAGAAACTAGTGGATGACATCAAAAAAGAAGCCAAGAAAATACTAGACGACTGACTGCAAAAATAGGTCCACACTTTCAGTTTAAACAGATTTATCTATGATCAAATAAAGCAAAGCTACATGACTAGACGAAGGAGACGCCTCCACCATAATATTCCAAGCGCGTTTGGGGCTGGACGAAGGCCAGCCAGTCGGATGCGTGGGTGGGTAGTAGCCCCATGCTGTGACACTTGTAGAGAGCCAAAGCAACGTTGGCCAGGTTGCCCAGGAAGTATACGATGCGCTGTCCAGTTCCCTGAGCACCCTCGGCCATCTTTGAGGTCACCTGGGTCGTGAAGATGGCCTTAATGGGTCGAATCAGCATCATGCCGACCATCATTATGGGAAAAATGGATATTGAGTTGCCGGACATGTACATGATGAACAAGTTCATTGGTATCTGGGCCAATCGAAATCCAAAGGTTATTTAATTATAGATATAGTTATCTCCTGGATCTGAGTACTCACGTTCTTTAAAGGTCCCAGGGCGAGGTCCCAGGATTTCTTGATGACTAGACGCTGATCGCGCACCACTTCGCTCTGGTTCACTAGGGCTGAAGGATTATAGCCCAACGGCGACGGAATATCAGTGTTTTTGCTGCAAAGAAAATGGCAAATATAGTAAATTGTGTTCTAATTTGCATGTCTGCCACGTTTACCCCCCGTTGAAATCCAGCGCCCATTTGAATTTTTTTGAACTTTGTTTGGCCGACATGATGCGCTATTATTTTATTTAATATCTCGCTAATTTACAGAATTTAATGACAAATTTTTCGACAATTGGTCGATTAGTGTTGTGTAACGTTGGTCTCCGAAGCAGTGCTGCCCAACTTTGATAAGCAACTGTGGTGAATGGCATTTTATTATCGATAGGCAGAATCGATTCTGCACGAATTGCAATAATCTTCAGCATGGCACTTTTCTTTCATATTCAATTTTATTTTGAATAACTGTTATAGTACTTTCCTTTCAAATATAGTATAAGTTTTTATGGATTTTGCGTAACGAAGCGACAACAAGAAACAAAAGGGTTAAAAATTAAAATGGTTTTGTTGTATTTTTAAAGAGCAATTACAATTACAGTTTTTTCTCATTAATATTACTTTTATATTTATAAAATTAAAAAGAAATATATATTGATGAGGGGAAGGAGGGGACAAAAATAACTTAAAAAAGACATTTTTATACCATATACTATAGTTTTCCTCTCTCTTGTGATTGGTTGGGGTTTCTCTTTTTGCTTTTAAACATCAAATAATTATGTATACGAATTTAAATTAAATTATAGCGTTCTTTATATGCTGCTTGAAAGGTTATTTTTTGCAATTCAATAAACAATTTCAGTTGTTTGGAAATACGGACAAGAGGAGCCCATTAAGTTATGCGAAGATCTGCTGCTCTTGTTGTTGGTGTTCTTGCCGCTGCTGTTTTGTGATAATTCTGATGTCGATTTCCACTGTTTACCGTCTGTTTGATGTTCTTCAGCCGCTCTTTATGTGGTTGTGGTTGCTGGGTAACTGCTTCGGCTTGCTTGAAATCGGAGTTAGTTGTATTCATATTGTTGCTTTAGTTGTAGTGTGTTTAATTAGCGATTAGCGTTCTTCAATTGGTTGGATAGCCAGTCGAGTCCCTCGTAGAGCCCATCACCACTGGTTGCACACGTCGCCTGGATGTACCAGTTGCGGTTTCTGAGTGAGTGCAAGCCAAGCTTATCGGTAATTTCGGCCGCGTTCATTGCATTTGGCAGATCCTGTAATGATTTAAAAGACAATTGGGGTGAATTAGAAGTATCGTAATGGTCCAGATTCAACCAATAAATTAAAGTAACACACAACCTACCTGTTTGTTGGCGAAGATTAGTAAGACTGCATCCCTCAGTTCATCCTCCGCCAGCATGCGCATCAACTCCTCTCTCGCCTCCCCAATACGTTCTCGGTCATTGCTGTCTACGACAAAGATAAGACCCTGCAAGAAGGAAAGAACCATCCGTTACTAAAATTTTCGTACCTCAAGGTAAAACCTTCTGTATATCTGATAGTAATTCAGTCCCGTCTTGAAACAAAATAAACTTTAAATAATCACAGCATGATTCATTACAAGTTGTTAACATCATCTAGAATATACTGGAATCTCTTGTGAACTCGTAAATACACTTACTTGCGTATTCTGGAAATAATGCCTCCACAAGGGACGAATTTTGTCTTGGCCGCCCACATCCCACACTGTAAAGCTAATATTCTTGTATTCTACAGTCTCCACATTGAAACCTATGTCAAATTGGAACAGGTTAGATACACAAAAAATAAACATGAATTTTGAAACACTCACCAATGGTAGGTATCGTTGTAACAATTTCGCCTAATTTGAGTTTGTACAGAATTGTGGTTTTACCAGCGGCATCCAAACCGACCATCAATATCCTCATTTCCTTCTTGCCGAAGAGGCCTTTAAATAAGTTCGCGAATACGTTTCCCATGGCTGCTGTTTGTCTTTTGGATGCGCAACAGAAGTAGTAGGAAGAGGGATCTCTAGTTGGCCTGCTCGCTGCTTGCTGGCTGGAATTATAACAGGTTCAAATCCGAGTTGCAGTACCGATCAGAATATGCAAACTGCGGACTTGTGTGCTTAGACTGGGAGAATCTGCAAAGAGGACAATAAAATCATGTGTTGTAGCAGGGCACTATCCGTTGCTGCACTATACAGCTGTTCTGCAGAAGTCAGGCTATTTTAACTGGCTTGAACGAAAAGTGTAGAAAAGCTGTTGTGATGTTTTGAATATCTCTTATATTACCCGAACACTGACGTGTTGATATTAGACCCAACCCGAGTCATGATATAAACCTGATATTACACAGTAAAGCGCTATCGAAATTTTTTTTTTGTTTTTGTTTTATTATATTATTGTGTGTAAGTGTGCCAGGTTCGAGAAAAAATTAAGTTCAGTTATTAATTGACCGAAAGGGAGAATGCATAAAGCACAATTCGCTAGCTCTTGCTGAATGGCTCGCTAACGGCTGCCGCTGATAAGATATCGATTTTTAGTATAGAATGATGACGGCTCTGTCAAGCTCGGCAGCTCCCTACCAACCTGCGTCGCCCACTTCGCTTGGCGTATTAAATAAACGTGCAAGCTAAATGATGCGTAAATGATAAGGCCAGTGGTCAGGTAACTTGCAGTTTTCATTAAATTTACTGGGCGGAGGGGAAGTTTTAAACTGTGCGGTGAGTCATCGCTGCCGCTTTGCATTGCAATTAATTTTCTAATAGACGAACCCAAGGAATACGCCCATTCCGCCCATGCAAAAAGCAAAGCGTTGCCAACGAAACATATGAAAATCTCAGGAGGTTTAAAAACAAAGTTTTAACAGCTTAATTAAAATCTTATGACGTTAATGGCGCTCCCCGATACTACGGAAATATAGTTGCTCTACAATTCGGAGATGCTGACGCCAGCTGAAGATAGTTGAACTGAAAGCAGCCAAAATAAAAACTACACGTAGCAGCTTTTAATTTCAAGCTGCGGGAAACGGGGCAACCCACCAACACACACACCCGCAGGCGCCAGGGTTGCCAACTGCGTCGCGTCGCCCTGGCACTGCCTTTAATTTCAGCTTCAAGGAAGCACTAAGCCGACGTATCACACTCCTGCGACGACTTTATCATCAGGTTCTGATTTCATGGTATTTTCGCGATTAATCCCAATCTTAGTTCCGATTCGGATCGAGATCGGACAACTTTGAACTTTATACGTGGGTGTCTGTATGCGTCTGTGTGAGTGACGTACGCTTTTTCTTCTAGGTTGGTGAAATGCGTCCCTCGTTTTATTAGTTTTAATCACTGAGTCTCGACAAAAATGAAACGGGCATAAATTAACTGGAATGCGATTTCTTTAGGAGCACAATTCACGTTTATTTACCGAATAACGAAGCTTTTAAGTGGATTTTCCTATGACTTGAGTTTTCTCTGCTGCCAAATACACCACACACCGAATTGCGAAGAGAAAGATAATGGGAAGTAATGTATCGATAGAAGGCTCGTTCGATAGTCGATGAACAGAGACCTCTGTTCTCAATGTTTTCAGAGGGCGGAATCAGCAAATGCTTGGCTATTATATAATTAACAACGCTATTTTAGACAAGTTAATATTAAATAAATCTTAGTCACCGGCTCCAGATACGGGAAACCAGGAAGAAAAGTGCCGACGATAAGTTCAGATGACTTCCAATACTAAATGCTCCATTACTCACCACAGCCGCAATCGCTGCGTAAGTATGGGTGTGCGTGTAGGGTCTGTGGCCACACCAATGAGAGCACACCGACGTACTCCACATTGATACGCAAGCTCTTAAAAAAATTAAAATAGCACTTCCGCATACAACTCAGATTTCATATTGAAAACACTTACGCACCAACTACTTCAATAAAATGCACGCGGATTGTAGCGGAATTTTAAAAACTTATGCTTGGAAATGTCTAAAATCACAGAGCAAAATAAAACTGGACCGAGAATACACTTGCCGTTGAAAAAACTGCAAACTCACCAACATGAATGCGCCGGAACGAGATGGCAACAGTTCACAGCGCCGTGGTGAAATATGGAAATAAGGAAATGCTGCCACGTCTCTTCTCCACTACCTCAGATAGCGCCGTCATCGCTGTGGGTTAATCGAAAGTAGAACCACACTAAAATGAAATCGATATTAGTATTAATGTGATGTATATTCAATGATGCCAGGCGATGAACGCCCGTATAAGCTAGATTAATATAGAATAGAAAAATCTAAAGTTAAAAAAAGAAATGCTAAAAAACGAGCAACACCCAAATAAGAGAAAACATAAAAACTAATTATGTTTTTATGTGGGTAGCAGAAATCATTGGCGGCTATATTTAGGATTAGGTCTTTAAATTTCCATTGGGTTAGTTTCCGAAAGACATTAATTCAGAGGTGATTTATTGTTGAATTTATAATAATTTTTAGTATGTGTGAACAATATTCTTATATATATATATTATTATTATTATTATTATATATATATTATATTAAAGCTTTGCTTATAAATATGAACTTGAAGTTTGCATTAAATTAAATTAGTTAATAATTCACGTCTCCGCACACATTTGCCTCCCAAAATATCGATTGGAAATAAATTCACGACTTTATGAAATGCACATAAATATCGCCAAAAAAAGAACAAGCACCCTTTTCAAGAAAGCATATTTTGTTTTACAAAGCAAACGTTTTGTGGGGTATTATATTTCTAAATAGAATATGCTATCGCTTAAAGCTGTAAGCTAGATGCAAATTTTACAAGCTTTTCCAGTTTCAAATATGCTGGAACTAGCTTATAATGAGCTAAACACTGTGTATATTGAAGTTGAAAAATTTCGATGTCAGTTTGTGATGTTCGGGGATTTCATTTTGGTTTTGTTTGCAATTTATTTTTTATTCCAATTTTCAAATTCCAGATTCATATCAGTTTTAAGGCCGGCGGTAATAAAAATCATATATTTGTGTACTCTTTGTATTAAATTGCCTCTTTAGCATTTGAAATAAAATAGAAGGGAAATATATTCATTTATTATCGATGAATCGGTAAGCATCGACATCAACGAAAAAAAACATCTGGAAAATTACCCCCACTACCAACTTACATTGTGATTTGAACCTGAATATCACAGTTTTACATGTTTCATCCGAAAACTCCATTTTGGGGGAATCCCCTCATAGAGGGCGAAATTCTAAACGTGAATGTATGTATGTAGGTAAGCCACAAACCACGTGCGCACATGGCTTGCCTTGATAGGCAATACTGTTCTTTACATTTCTAAACTGTTGATTCCCTTTTTTCCAGTCGGCTTCACTTGCTCCAATACTGGAGTGGCTCTGCCATACGCCCAAAGTTACTACGTACCGCGTGAATACTCTTAGTTGCTCCGTTGATACGTTCCGAAAAAAATTGGAGGAAAAAATAGCGGCGCGCTACGGTCAGAAATCTCCAAAGGTTTATGGATTGCCGAACCTACCTGAGGTTTTGTGCATTGAACCGCTAAGTATGCAGCTCAATAAGCCCTCCATCGATCCCACACTTAAGGAGATCGTAGTGGACACCAGTTGCGGAGCTGCGTTATTGCGAGGTGCCCACATTTACGCTCCCGGCGTCCTAGCCATGGAATCCAACGCTCAGCTGCAAGAAAATGTTAACGTTTACGCAGATCTGACAGGAAAATGTAAGCGCGGAACGATCACTCGCTACGAGAGCCCGGAAAAAATCTTTCTCGGGACCGGAAAAGTCCTTATGCAGCGCTACCAGTTGTTCAACAACTCAGACAAGCCGCCCACAGGTGTTGCTGTGGAAATGCAAACAAACGTCAGTGGTGTGCCCTCGCTGGGGGATCTGAGCAGCGAAGAGGCCCTCCTTCAGAATCTGCCCTCCATTGTGTGCGTCCGCGTATTGAATCCGCAGTCTGGCGAATGTATCTTGGATATGTGCGCCGCTCCCGGCAACAAGACGAGTCATATAATCGAATTAATGGGCGACAATGGAATTGTGGTGGCCTTGGACAACTCAGCAAGTCGCGTTCGCAGCATGCTGCCAAAGTTTAAACACTACAAAAGCGTTACGGCGCACGTGTTTGATTCCACTAGGGCTGTAGCATTTGACGCTACACATACTGACAAATTCTCTAGGCCTCCGTTTCCTTCTGCCAGTTTCGACCGAATTTTGTTGGACGCACCATGCAGTGGACTGGGCAACCGCCCTCAGCTATCCTGCAACATAAAGCACGTTAAGGTATTGCAGTCGTATCCTAATATCCAGCGCCGGCTATTCGGTCAAGCAGTACAGCTCCTGCGCCCTGGCGGCATACTCGTGTATAGCACTTGCACTGTCACAGAGACCGAGTGTGAATGCATGGTGGCCTGGGCGCTAAAGAAGTTTTCTAATCTTCGTTTGGTGGATGCCACTCCTCGGTGGGGCGGTCCAGGACTTCCGCTTCCCGATTTGGATGCGTCACAGTCGCAATTGCTGCAGCGCTTCGGACCGAGCGGGGAAAATGCAGACACAGTCGGCTTTTTTATTTCGAAGTTTCAGAAAGATAGTGAATAAAGTTGACTCGATATAATTTCTCTGTTTATTGGGCTTGTGAATTTAAATATTCGCTTTAACTTTTTAGTTAAGCGGCTTTGCGGATGTAAGCCGGCTTCAGAAGAAATACATTTAAGGTCTTAACTAATGTCAATGATCAAGGAAATTCCAAAATCTACGCTTTGCAAATATTCCGACTGATAACATTATGCTCACACTCATCTGCTTATGTATAAGTTATAAGTGAATAAACATGGTGATCTTTTAGTTTTCTAGATTAAAAGTACTTAAATAATTTACAATTCATATCTATTAATATTTTCCCTAAAGCTAAGGCTGGTTTCTTATATAGTTTGTTGCTAAAATGCAAGAACTGCATTTCGGGATACAATAGAGAAAATTACTTATTAACTTAAATTGCCTGTCTTAAAGTTACTACGAGTTGTAAATTATGAGGAAGTCAAGTTTTTCGCAATCATTGAATTGGGTATTAGGGTCAGCTAAATGCATTTTAAGTATGAACAATTTATTACATGGGGAAGAAGAAACAATCGAACCTGCTATAACGCATTATAAGAACATCTTTCACGACGTTTGGTACAAAAATACCGCATTGATCACCTGGCTTGGGCCAATATCATTTTAGTAAACAGATTGCATTGTTGACCCGTGTTGAAGAAACCTGCTTCCCCACGATAAAATGTTGTAATTAATTCGCATAATTTATTTCATCGTCTGTCGTCCTCTGTTTGCCCTGTATTAACGCACTAAGTTTTTTCAGAAGGTCAGCAAAAGTTCCCGTTCTCCGGTTAACCAAATACTGATTTTAAAACCTCTGGCAAACGCGGCCCAAAGCCATTTGTCATGCTCACTTGCGTTCTGCATTATGGGTATGGCTTGGACCAAACAGACCTGAAGGTGGGAGTAACCTAGCAACATCAGGTTCTTTCAATATTATCCGGCTTATGAACTACGCCTAGGTCTACGTATGGATTCAATTAACAAATGTTTACGTCGGGATGTTGAGCGTCTTAAACTGTTCTTCGTGCATTTCAGTCATCATGAAGGTGCCATCCTGCAGCAATAAAACGACGCGACGAGTGCCTCCTAAAAAAAAAAAAATTATAGAAAAAAATCGACTTTAGACGCCATTTCAGCACAACTTACCCGGTGATGGAAGATCTGCTTGGACCACCTCGGCCGGTATCTGGGCTTCCGTGCCATCACTGTCTGAGGTCGTGATATGGATCTGGGCCGTGGCCGGAGTTCCGGTACCTGGGGCAGAAGTCTCCGCTTGTTGAAGCATCTGATGCTGAGATAGCTCCTCCTCTGTCATGGACACGAGAATTTGCTCGCCGTCCGCTGTCGCCGCAGTGACACCCTGCGTTTCAACCTGCTCACCGGCCTGAACGGCCTCAGCCACTGCGTGATCAAGAGAGAGAACCTCCTGGTCTTCTCCCTCTGCGGCAGCCACGTAAGCAAATTGCTGTTCTCCATCGGGCCCCTGGGTGACAAGTATGGTTTGCCCCTCTGCGTTTTTCCCCGCCACTTGATAGACAGTGCCATCCTCACCTCGAACCAACAAAGCCGAGCCGTCTTCGTTGGTGAGAACTTGTTGGTCGCTACCCAAAAGAGCTTGTGCGGCGGCCTCCAACTGTTCACGCTGTTGCTCTTGCTGCTGCTCCTGTTCCATTTGCAGCTGGGTCTCCTCCTGGCCAATAAGCTTGCCTGTGATTGGGCACAGCTGAGCCTGATGTTGATTTACTTCCTCCTCTATCTCCATTTGCAAAGGCGTTGGCTGTAGCGCCGGTTTGGGAGCTATTCTTTGCCGGTTAGCAGTTACTTTCTGCATTTGGGAGGACTGTTGCTGAGCTAGTACCTGACGCTGTCGGGCCTGAGCGGAGCGCTGGGCTAAGAGCTCTTCCCGGGTCACCATTTTACGGGTAACTTTCAAGTCACCCGACTTCGAAAGCTGCAAAATCTTTTGCTCGGGCGTTACTGCTTTAGCGCCCTGAGAGCTCTGTATCTGTTGGCGTTGTTGCGGCGCCCCGACACCTGCGCGTGGAAGGACACGCCCCCCCGGGTGAGTCCGCTGAGAAGCTTGCTGCAGACTCTGACGCACCTGCGGGGTTCCGCCCATCACAGGACGGCGATGGACTGCTGATGTTGAGAGACCCTGGCCGGGAGTACGCAGCACCTGTTGTCTCTGACCCACAGTAATTGGAGAATTGGTGCCAGAGTGTACAGGTCGGGACACCGGCAGGCGCTTGGCAACGCCCGAAGCTATGGGCGCGGTATTAATCTTCTGGGGTGACGTGACTGCAGACGAAACAGTGCCTGGTATTTCGGAATTTTCAACACGGAAGATACCTCTTGAATTGCTAACCACCTCGGATCGCGAAAGATACCGCACGGGACACTCTGGCTTCTCCTTTTTCTAGACGGGATACGTGGATCGTTAGTAAACTCGTGATGCGGAAAAACATTATTTATACTCTTACCAGGTGTATGGTGTTGGGCATATCGGGTTTGCGAAACATGCCAGAGCTTGTGCTGTCCTCCGTATAAATAATTTCACCCATCCTTTGTTCCGTTACAGACACAGCCGAATTGCCATTAATTTTAGTTTGTTGCTTTTCCGAGGACTGAACCCGTGGCTTGTTCAACTGCACAGAACTCCCTCCGTTTTTTAGACGCTTCACGGTGTGCGACGGAAGATCCTCTTCGAGATCCTCTAGGTCCATTGAGTCATTTAGCCCGCTCCCCTCTAGGCTGGAGTCGGTATGGTTAAGCTTGCGCTTAACCGGTCCCGTCGACGCCGGCCATTCTTGTTCCGTAGCGGATTCATCCTCGTTGGCAGATGAGGGAGAGGAGGAACCATCGCCGCCTCCAGTTTCATTGACCCACTGCTTGAACGAGTCCATGGCCTTTGTTTTAGAAGTGCGCGAGGGGCGAGAGGATGGCGATACTTGAGACGGCACTGGGACCGGGCTGAGTGGGGCAGCCACATCTGTTTTAGCCGGCTGCATACGCTTCAGCACATCCAGACCCTTTTCTCTAGTGAGTTTTTGTCGAGCAAGTTGCTTTTCGAACATCTGTAGGAAGTACGGCACTCGCTCAAGGTTGGCCATCACCTCCCAGGTGTTTTCATGATGCGATCGATCCACCCACTTTACCAAATACTCGTGGGTTTTGCGACGCGGGTTGAACCGCTTGGCGACTATTTTCTCCACTGGCTCCTCAGTGCGTTGCTCTGTCTTTGAATCGATGCGAATGGCTATGCGATTGTTTGGCTTTACTGTTCCAACGGACGCCACTGAGGGGAGAGTTGGAGTGCCCGGTTTCGACTTGGGTCTTTCGTTTTCCGTGTCCTTTAGTTGATTGGCCAACGTGGGCAGTTTACCGGCCGGTGATTCTGACAAAACAAATGCAGTTTAATATATATTGTTACATACTTTATAAAGAATTTAAAATACTTCGATTAGGGGAGGCGCTCGTGTTGTTATTGCTGTTGGATGTGTTGTTGTTGTTTGGGTTGACCACCGTCTTCGTGATGCGCACCGGCATGTCCTGAAGTTGTCCGTGGGCAATTTTTCCGAATGACTGTATAGTCTTTCCGGCAACGATCCACGGCTCCCGTACGCTGTCCTCTAGCTTTACCCAATGCTGATACAGAGCCCACGAGCTGCCCGAGTTAGCGTCTTTGCGCGTATTCAGCTGTGTGGCTTTCCAAAGGGTAAATGCCCAGATGGTGGGCTTGGTGTCGAGAGACTCCTTCATGTTTGCATTCTCCTTCTCGCAAGCATCTTCTTTGTGGGCCTGAAATTCCTCTACAAAGTTGTAAGCCCGCAGGCAACGACCGCACACAAGAACGTCCATATTTGCCAGTTCCTCCTGGGCAGCTGAAATGCCAAAATAAAAAATCGACAATTAGCAAGGCTCGCTAATTTCTTGTGGTCACTCACCTCTGATAATGTTTGCGTGTTTTCCAATTTCAGTGGGTGCAATCTCCTGTGCCAACATTATTCACGACCCCTGCGCCCAAGCCTCTGTGGAGTGCATTAAGATTGTATCTTTTAAACAGTGCAGATTTGTATTATTTGTTATTGCTAAGTTTTCAGCCAAAGAAAAAAGTACAGTGCCGTGGTGTGTTTGCGCGAAATTGGGCCGGGTGGCAACGCAATTGGTCTCTGTCTGCGGTGTGTGCCCGGTGTGGTAAGATTAAGCATATGTACATCTGCAATAGGCAGAAGCAAAATGCAGCGGCGCTTTGAAATAACAAAAAGAAAACACTGAGAACTGCATAAAATCAAGTTTTTCAGATCCTTGTTATACAACTTTCCAAATTCATTTTATGGCACCGTTTACAATACAAAGTTTTGAATAAATTTTTTTAAAAATTTTAATGTTTTTTATTTATAGTTAAACACTGGAGGCAAATCACATTCTTTATAAAATACTTAATACGCACTTGTGATGAATTAAAAGGGGTTTTTTTAAAGTGTTTTTTATCTTAATTTTGATTAATCTTTTAAATTTCAAGTTGCCCGCTCAAATTATGTGGATAGTGGATATGTATGTATGTCAGCCGATCATCCGTTTTATAAAATATTTAGAAGGGGTTTGGCCACAACACTTTCGTACGCACCTTCATAAACAATATTCGTTTGCAAAATCAAACTGAATTCAGTTTTTAAACGGTAGTTTTAATTTAACTGACTTCTGATTTTCAACACGAGCAGCGCCGCTGCTGCTCACAATTGTACGCGCGATTTCTGAATGCCAAACGTTAAATTTGCTGGACTGCATGAAAATGCTCTAGTGATAATTTTGTTTCGGCTAACGGAGCCTCCGAATACGCTTTAGTTTTGTATGTTCATGTTGCTTGGTTAAATTATGAGTGGATTGACAAAGTACAAATTATCAAAGATTTTGTCGTTAAGTAAATTTCTCAATTTTGTTAGTTTTTTGAATATTTTTCATTTAAATACACGAATTTCCATACTCACACGAATTCAAATGCCCGGACATTGAGGATAGTGCTCTTTTCCGTTCGCCCGCGTGGCGGTGCACTTAGTTAGCCAATGACGAAGCATGGTGAAATTTTTTAACGATGGGGTAACTTTGTGCGCTCTCATCTATGAAAATATTTATTATTTTTTACCTAATATTGAAAGAGTTTTATATAAAGACTTTTAAATGATATATTTATGTATTAAGTATATGGAATTGGAGTTATCATTATTTCCAGAATTCTGACTTTAGCCCGTGTGGCAACATACCGGATTGTATTTATATTATGGGCAGTGTGTATACACTGTTTAATGCGCCAATGCATTTTTGGGCAATTTTTTTTACTTCATTCGATTAAATTCTGATAGCGCAAAAGGACTGCAAACATGGCCGATGACGAGCAAGAGGACCAGAAGGAGTACCGATGGGAGACGGGCTACGAGAAGACTTGGTAAGGTTTTAAAATTTATGTGGTACGGCTTCATTTATAATCTTTATAGGGAGGCAATCAAGGACGACGAGGATGGCCTGCTGGATGAAGCCATCGCGGAGATCATTCAGAAGGCCAAGCGCCAACGGCAGGCACAAAAGACCAAGCAGAACCGACTAGGCATGATGCGCCACATGTTTATTGTGCTTGATTGTTCTGAGTCCATGAGTGTGCCAGACCTAAAGCCCACGCGACTACGTTGTACCGTCAAGCTACTAGAAGATTTCATCGAGGAGTTCTTTGACCAGAATCCCATCAGCCAGCTGGGGATAATAGCACTGAAAGCAAAGCGGGCCGAGAAGGTAACGGACCTCACCGGCACGTCGCGTGTCCATCTTAAGGCGCTGGAGAGGTGGGTTACAGTTCATTGTACCAATCCCGACTTCCGACTTATTTGCCGTCCGTTTTAGCTTGGCAAACGTGTCTCTTAGCAGCGAGCCATCGCTGCAGAATGGTTTGGATCTGGCTTTGAAAAAGCTGAAAGTAGTGCCCTCTCACGCCTCCCGCGAGATCGTTATTATTATGGGCTCACTTACCACCTGCGATCCTGTGGATATAAGCTTCACTATCGATGAGCTGAAGAGGGAGGGCATTCGCTGCTCGGTCATTTCTCTTTCGGCCGATGTTCATGTGGCTCGCTACCTTACTCAGCAAACGATGGGTACCTTCGGGGCTGTTCTGGATTACGCACATTTCAGGGACCAGTTGATGTCCCAGGTAGATCCCCCACCCGCCGCCAAAACGCAACACAACTCTCTTATTCGCATGGGCTTTCCACGCACTAAGAACGAAGTGGAGGGCAAGGACGCGCCGCTTTCCATGTGCATGTGCCACATAGAGAACATGGATGAGCCCAGTGAACTGAGCACTACTGGCCACCACTGCCCGCAGTGCAACAGCAAGTACTGCGAATTGCCCGTAGAGTGTCAATCCTGCGGCCTCACCCTAGTATCCGCGCCGCATTTGGCGCGATCATACCACCACCTGTTCCCGGTGCCTAACTTTGAGGAACTGCCGCTGGAGGCGATGCCTGCGTCCTCTTCCTATATTGACGGCGGAATCAGGGAATGCTACGCCTGCGCCGACACAATCTCCGAAAATATTGTGTTCAGATGCAGCTTCTGTAAACAGTTTTTCTGCACCTGCTGTAACATCTTTATCCATGAAACCCTGCACGCTTGTGTGGGATGCAATACCATTCCTGGCGTGGACGGTTTGGTTTACCAGCAGAGCGCCAAGTCCGACAAGGATGATACGCGCGCAGACACCTCAAAGCAGCGCGACCAGTTTGGCATGTAACTGACTTTCTGTAGATATTATATTTAACAAACTTTAACTACGTACTTAAAACCAACCAATACAGTTCAATTTGTACCGGTGTTCGTGAGTTGTACCAATTAAGATCTGGTGTTATGCTTAATAATTGTGAAGGTGAGCGTAGCATCATTATGGACGTTGCGCGGCTGTCAAGCCCTCTCATAGCAAATTGCTTGGTCGATGGTTCTCAGTACCTCTCCATGTGAGCTTGCCGGGCTTTTGTCTATAGCTCGCTTGAGTTGATCGTCAGCGCTTGTCGCAATCGGTCGGGTTTTGTTTCGATTAGATCCACAGGTGTTTTCGCTGGCACGGTTGGCTGGAATAAAATTAACCTCGCTTTGGTGTGTGAATTTTGAAGAATCTACACGGAGAGATCACTGTTTTGCCGGGGACTGACGAGAAGTAGAGGTACTGCTTTGCGATACACAAATTGCTTGGGATCATAGAAGCTGGTTTACACTAGTATCAAACTAGTTAGACCTCATCCAATCCGCCACAAAAATCCATTAATTTATTAAATGTTAAACAATTGATTGAAGAGTTATAGACTTTCATAAAGTTATACCAATACCAATAATACCAATCTTACCAAATATTTTCGGCAGTGTGTGTTTTTGCCACATTTCATTTTCAGCCATCTTAACATATATAATAATTACTTAAGAAGTCATAAAAAACTTTAAAATGTAGAGTTGATACCGAAGAGTAGTTTTTATATTTGTACATGTTAGCTAACTGACAATGAAATAACAAAATTATCTTAATTACAAAACGAAAACTTATTTGGAGAAGTAATTTATACATTTCACGTAAAATTGGTTACAAAGAGTAATGTACAGATAGTTTCACTGTCTGTGCCTTTGTTATTATTATTTAACTTATTTCTGAAAAATATAAGCAATTATATGTTATACATACTATATTAATTTTATTTAAAAAATATTGTACTGTCGACAGTTAAAACAAGAAGAAACGGTATAGTCGAGTGCCCCGACCATATGATACCCGTTACTGTTTTATACAATTTTAAAATGTTGTTGTCAGATAAAGCTTGTTTACTAACTGATTGCAACTTCACTGTGCCTGTGAGGCCTCATAACAAACATTTGTTAATAAATAGGAAAATATTGTTCGATTTAAAAAATCTTTAATAAATCGATAGATTTTGACAAAAATTTGTTATGCAAGGTCAAACGAAGACATACACTATTATATTATGGACGTCACCGTTTTCCGCGGTTTGTGCGCGTTAGAGTGGACGTGGCCGGATGAAAACTCGTGTTGCAGTGGTATCTCTAAAATACGTATTCTAATGTACAACTTTTTAGCTCTTATAGTTCCCGAGATTTTCACATTTTCGGTTTCCCGGGTTTTGTGGGCGTTAGATACCAAACTTTCTATCTCTTGTAGTTACTGTTATAGTTGCTTTTCTACGAAATGCGAAAACCGTCTTTCGAGCTTGGTGGCCGATTATGGTACCACCGTAAGATGCGCTGGCATCTCAAGATTATAGATACTTAATTTAAACTTTCTAGCTCTCATAGTTCCCAAGATTTCAGCGATCTTAGTTTTCCGTGATTTGTGGGCGTTAGAGTGGGCTGAAGAGAGTGCTAGAGTTAGAGTGCTGAAATCAACTTGCGCTGAGTGGGGACATCAAGAATCTTCGTGCTTAATCTCAACTTTGTATCTCTTATAGAGATCGACTTCTCTATTGATCCTGATCAAGAATCTATATACTTTATAGGGTCGGAAACGCTTCCTTCTATCTTTTACATAATTTTTAACGAATAAAGTATACCCTTTTACTGTACGAGTAACAGGTATAAAAAGTGCAACAACGTATGTTTCATCAAATAAGCTTAATATTATAATTAGCATTCAGAAGTTATGGTCTTAGGGTTTGTAGGTCTGTTGTTAAATATTTTACGATAATAGGATTCACTTTTCAGAAAAGGTAATTTTGGCAGGCGACAGAATATTAGGATTATAAATTCTTTCTATCTACGCTTTAAAAAACATTTTAACCCTTTGTATACAGTATTTATCACATAATGTTTTGGGTATAGGAAGTTAACCTTGAGAGGTCAGTTCATCTAAGGCATATTGACTCCCGCAACCAATAAGCGCGTCCAGTTAAGCATCATTTAGACAGCTCAGACTACCTCGTTAATTACTGACTAGCCCAGCGTCATGCCTGCTTACATTAATTAACCGGTACAAACGTATAAATTTGAGCAATATAAAGACGTTTCCGCATCGCACCCCACAAAAACAGCAAAAATTAAAAAACGTTTGTGATTATTAAATGTTGAAGTGGAATGAATCAGATAATAAATATCACTGAAGTGTATGTGGTATGTACATAAGCTTGTCTGTATGGAAATTCGCTGTAATTTAAGGCCAAATGCGATGAAGGAAGTTGATGGAGTAAAGAATCGGGGCCTGCTCTACTTCCATTGTAATGGTATTGCATTCTAGGAAGAATTACTTGGCTAATTTATTCAAAGTTGTCTAGGAATAACTAACCGAAATGTAGGCGTAATAATAAATTATGCGCAAAAAGCCTCTAAAGTGTGTTCTCTAGTTTCACTGTGCTGTTGGTAAAATGATTAAGTGGCGGCGGAAGGGGAAGAGACTTTAATGCTGAAAAGTTTTCTGCGGCTAATCACTTGTTAAGTTTGTTCTCATGGCATGTTCTCCTGGGACGGAACCCTAGATATACTTTCCTTCATAGACAACCCATTGATTAGTTGGCGTCGGCAAAGTATTGCTGAAATGGCTTGGATTGACTTGTAAATACCAATCTTTGTTTAAAATATGATGTTTGCAGGCATACTTCAAAGACAATGAACTAAAGAGATAGATAATCAAACAAAAACAAATGCATAGAAATCACGTTTGAAGCCACAGAGAAATAACACAGCTGGAATAAGCATAAATATAATAGATTTCCCCAAAAGTAAAGAGACAAAATATCAAGTTATTTTTTTTATCAAATCGGTTGGGGTTATGTGCATTGGCAGATGTTTCGTTTTGTGACTGCCTTAAGTGATGAAAAGTAAAAAAAATTAGGTATGAATGTGAAGGAACAGACTCGTACCAAATTCCTCGTTTATATAATTGGCCGTGGTTACATATGTATAAAAACCACATTCTATAATTAAGGGGTTTTCCCGGGCTTTAGCATTACCCCGCGCTCCATCGAAAACAGGTTAAGGCTGTCACGTGCAGGGGCATACTGTATTCACCGAAGTCTGGGTGAAAAACTAGCGCACTTCTGCCTCGACAATAAGATACCGGTTACTTTGATCACCAATTTGAAAGCAAAAAGTTATGTAGGAAAATACGAAAATATTTCGATAAAAAAGTAACAATTAAGTATGCAGAAAAGCGGGGCTAAACCAAATGGACTAGTGATTCTGAATGAGATTGTACTGCAATTATACTTTATAGGGTCGGAACTTTTTCTTCTAGCAGTTAAAAACTTTCAAAGAGTACAAAATACCACTTCATTCAGCAAGTAACGTTTATAAAAACTCTCCCCATGAGGGGAGTTGTTGCGGGTTAGTCTTTCATGCGGCTGACGCCCGCCGATTTCCATTCGCCATATTTTAAATTAGCAATTCAACATTTATAATTAAAAGTTGTGCAAACATTTTGAGGTATTTATTGCATAATTGCTTTTAAAACACAGCAAAAAAAAAAAGAATTTACCGACATTAATCGGTAAGTTTTTTGTTAAATCCTTGATTTTATATAATTAATTAATGTGTGTAGGTAGGATTCGCAAATCGGGGTGGGGAAATGGGATTATTATTTTCATTTGAAATGGCCGGAAGTCATTCGCGTCTGTTGTTATGTCGTGTTTGAGAAATGGTAGAGGAATTCTCGTTGCTGGTTATTATCATAGCGAGAAGCAACTAGAATGAATAATTTGTATTTGTTTCTAAAATTATCGCGGCCAAAGACAAATAAAAAGGGTCTTGCCGATGAAACTCTAATTCAATTATGAAGCAATATAAGAAACCGAATTCAATTTTCACTGAACATTTGTTAATCAATTTAATCGTTTAGCAATATTTAAAATTAAACCAGAAATGTATGGGCTCGCTGTGAGCTCGAGGGACACATCCCACCAAAATAAACTCTTTGCTAATGGAGGTTCGCGCCTTCCGTTTTAAACGTTTACGCCTGGATGCTTATCATTTTGAGTGAAATTTTAGATTTTCACCCTCTAATCTTTGTGGATGGCAGAACAAGTAGTGACGAATATGTGACAAAATAATAAAAGCCCTTTCTGGAGGTCCGATCACAAAGGCTAATACACCAATAAGAAGGTATCGCTAAACCTAATTGTTCTTTGCTAAAATGGGTAATAATATACAATTATAAAGAATATTCATAAAATCGCAGTGCAAAGATTATAATTAGGCAGTTCAAATGTAAAACATTTTAACCATGTCATATTTATTCATTTGTCTAATTATTCCTAAATTTGTATTTTCTGTTTTATTCCAAAACTGGAGAGCGGTGATGATGGTGACTGTGCCAGTATTTTTTTAAGTTGTTTTTTTTAAGAAAAAGATTTGAAGTAGTATTTAAAAAAAACTAATGTAAAGAGATGTAATGTGATAAATCGAATTGACTCCTACTGTATAGTCCCGTTTCTTTCTTTGTGAATCTTCAGCTCCCTCATTATCAGATTCCCTTTTCCCTTTCGCCTTGTCGTACTTGCTAACACGCTGAGATTTTCGACTGCAGTTTGTTTTGTGCCGCATTTAGCTTAATACAAGTCGGGAGAAAAGCGCGCGGGTTGAGAGAGTTGAATTAATAAGGTATTTTTATTCTTCTGCTTTTATCGCAGGCAGTAAGTATAATATAAAAGCGCAATTGATTTACGGAAAGTACTTCGAATAAAGTGTCGTTTGACTGTCAATTGCTCCAATCTCAATACGGGCTACTTTTCAATCTCGCAAAAGTTACATACTCGTACATACCTTATAAAGCCGAAACCCAGAAAGTTTTCTTAAACTAAGGTAATTCCGGTTTTGGAGAGTTGACCCTTATTCCATTATTCTTAATTTTGATTGCTACTTGGACTTTCTTTATGTCTCTGTGTTCCGCAAAGTTTTCGGCGTTAATGACATCATTGTAATACGCTAATTAAAGGGGAATATATTTTTCAATAGTACTTTTAAAACTCTAAAAAATATATATTTTTTTAATTTTAAAATATTTTGTAACTTCTTGGATCTAGACAGACAGTAAAAATGTGTATTTAAAAAATATATATTACTTAATTTTGATACCTGTTGCTATTACGGTAGATGGAATAACGACGGCAAATGGTTCAATGTATTGACAAGGGTGTTCCATTGTCTACCTTAAAAGTATGATTTTTTTATTGGCACAACTAGCTTTGTTTAGTTTCCGGAACTAAAAAGCGATATGATTTGGTTATTACTATGGTAGGGGCTAGTTATTGCTGTCGCTGGATTGAGGCAAGGTCACTAGCAATGACTTCACTCTAAAAGTGGCTCAGTAGAGCTGTGATGATTTACGGATCCCTCGTATCGCTGATTAGTAATGATAATTAAAACGTTAAGCGCCACTTGGCAACGGCTGTGAAAACTGAAGTTTATTAACGGAACTGATAAAACAATGCGGTTAGGAGTGATTGGGTCTTGTCCCCGAAATCATAGATCCCATCAATAGTTTCAACAATCTAACCTTGCCTTAAAATTCATTGTAATATATTTATATAAAGTCTAATAATTTCAAAGAGCCGTATCTGGTGGTGATAGCGAGTATTAGTGCGATAAGTGTGATGGGATATAAGCCTTTGTGTGTACTTAGAAGGCTGTGATTCATTCTTAAAACTCTTCATTCACTTAATTCCATTTGACTTGCTTTCTAGCGCCCCCGTATAAGCCGCAATTTCCATTCTTGTAGTTATTTCGCCCTGCAATTGCAGTTGCCCCCGCGAATGTCAAGTCAACTGAAGGCCCCTTTCCCCTTAGCTCAACAGACCACTAAAAAGGCAGCAGCATGCGGTGCTTCAAAGTCACAAACAATTTGTAAGCAACACTGAGCACTCAACAAGCCGCATTAAAACGGAGCCCATTGTTATAGGCAGGTAGGCTTCCCCACCAGTCGAGCTCCCTCTTTGGCTAATGAAAACTCGCCAAAATATGAAGTATGCAAAAAGTTCTTCCCCAGGCACCTTGAAACTTTTTGAAACAGCATAAAAATTTGGCGAGTTCACTGACTTTGGAGTAATTAAGCTCCTCCTTGGGGTTGAGAGTAGCCAGGTGGTTGGCTACGACAATCTTGGTAATAGGAGATGTACATGCAACCAGAAACCTTAACAAAAACATAACTTCGAATAATATCGAACTATGGTGATAAGACGCATAAAAGCCCAATCAATCAAACTCAAGTTAACTGTCTACATATTTCTCATTCATAACTGTCAATACAGAGTGTTGATAATGGGAAACCAATTTTGCCTTAGTGTTCAGTTCAGCCTTTTTTTATTTGCTTAAAAGTGAGCAATTTATTAAATGTCTATCAAAATGGAGCGCTAATGGCGGGAGATTAGTCTGGGGGAAGGGCTCTATTCCCGCATTAATGACTTTCGCTGGGTTCTTCTACAGTCCGAACACGCCCTAAGGAATTGATAGGCACCCACGCTAGATAATGCTGAGATAGAGGCAGCAGAACATGGCAGCTCGCGGCCAAGTGGGACAAATACAACATGGGCATTACTTATTTGAGTGCAGTTATCTCTTATCGCAGGTCTTGTCAAATGAATGAGGGCCTACTTTAATTGCATCAGATATTAGGCGAATGAAATTATATGGCCCCGCCGAAACGCCAGAGGCCGACTTTGACTCTTCAAGCCTCTTGGAGTTTCGCAGTCCCGAAAATTCTCTAGCGATTAATCTGCCAAGATCTTGCCACCGGGGATGATAACGTACATATGTGGGATTATACAATTTGACTAATTTTTATGATCCGTCTGGGGAGCGCTATAAACATGCTACGATCCCAACAAGCGCAAAGGAAAGATGAAATAAAATTGAGAAGATATTTACAATCCTTTCTGCTAATTGTAGGCCATAAAGTGGTGAAAAGGAAGTGTTTATGGAGTTTTCTTTTTCAACGAGCCAGCCAAGTGGTTTGAGAAGTGAGCTAGTAAGGGCAGGTCGCCAGTCTAAACGCAATCGTATCAGGGTCGTAAATGCTAGACCCCAGTTGGGGGGTCATAAATTAAAGAGCAAATATACTTTGCGTATCATAAAGCGATTGTGCATTCCACAATCCCAATGATATCGGCTGACAGCTGCTTCATAACGGACACGGAGTGGTGCCCTCGTGGTGACGATGGCTCGAGTGCCCAAGTCCACGACACAGACAAAGAGGTCTGGTGAAGGTGTGAAAATATCTAGCCACAGTCAATGGACAGTTCACATATTTGCAGGCAATTCAATCGAATTAGCGATCAATTACTCCATAACTGACCATCATTTAGCGGGCAGCTGTGACGTCACAACACGACCATCTGACGTCAAAATGTTTCGCCGGGAAGTGAGAAGAGTGGTACTGACAACAGCGAACAGAGAGGCTGTGATTTCGCAGTTCAATTTATTCTCGCCCACCCCTTATCGAATTGCATTGGCACACATGTAATCGCAGTTTCGAGATTGGTATCCATGTCTTGCTGGGGATTCAGTTTAAAAAAAAGTAGGCCTACTGTTGGACTGTGAACTCAAACGAGATTTGAGATGTTTGCAGCTCCGTGATTTGTTTTTCGAGTTTGACTGGCCCGCATCTCCCACCTCTGCCCCCTTAAGAGCCGGTCTCGTTTGTTTTTCAGCCCACACTTTGCAGTCAAGAAGTATAAGTATTATATTTCAAGTAAGTATTGTCAAGTCATTGGTCATGGGGCTTCAGTCGCAGCTTGGAATTTTAAATTGGTTGGTAAAAGCCCCCTCAAGCTTGATAAATTTGTTTTGATTTCCGAGTCGCACTAGCCTAAAGAGCGGTCTAGACCAAGTCGAGGTGTGGAAAATAACCGGGCTGCGTGTGCAAAGCTGTTTCCTAAACCCGAAGAGTGTTTCTCTATCGCGAAGGCAGCCCAACTGAGAGCACGAACAGATCAGGTGCCATGTGTTTCCAGAACACATGAGTGACTTTCCAGCTGTGAGCTGCAGGCAGGGGGATGGCTATCCAACTGGGTCAAGGTCGATTTATAGGCGATCATGTCGACCATTGCCGCGAGCGTTCAGTGTCTTGCATTCTAGCTAGGCATTTAGTTTACGCCGAGTTCGCGGACAAAAGTCATGGCTAACGGTGGCAAAGCTAGCTCGACTCGCATTTTTTGGCGTACAAGTGTGCTTAAGGCCCGCGGCGGCTTTCAGAGGGGCGGGAGGGGCTGCGTCTGCCTGTAGAACAGACCGCAAATAAATGTGGGCCCGAACCGTTCGACAATGGCTAATCAAATGGCACGAGCGTCGGTCAAAAATAGCTTATCGGGGTGACGTCAGGCCGGTAAGGCAGTTGCAGCTGCTAATACCCACTATCAGGTGCCATATTTATGTAATTTGGAGTTGTTGGCCGAGTTCAACATACGGCTTCAAGTCCGAGTCGCCGAGTCTCGGTCGACCCCATCGCATCGATATATAAATGCGAAAATGCCCTCGGACGCAAATCGGATTGAACCGGAAACCCAGGGCGCCGCTGCTTTCGTTTCGTTGGGAAAAAGTTGTTAACAATCTGGCGACGCGTCGGCCAATTCGTAAGCCAAAGCTTTAACCGATCCGCCAGCAGCACACGACGATCAGAAGCACTTTGCAGCGCGCCGCGCGCGGTAACTTGATCGGCAGTTATTTTCGTCAGCTTTTTGAAAGTTTTTAGCGAGGCCGAAGTGAAACGGTGCGCATTTGATTCAAGTCCGCGGGAATATAAAGAGGGAAAAGTATGTGTCTTTCAGGATTTGACAGGACTCAATCCTCACAATAAATATGGGACGAGGGACTATTTGTTTTGACGTGTGAAAAAAACAGGCTCAGTATCTGGCGATTCGGCCTTAGATTTGTTATCTTCATGGCAAATCCCCAATCCGTCTGAAAGTAAAGAGAATGATCGTAAACTTAATGGCGCGATAATAAAATTGTGTAATTTATAATTGCAACGCAGCCAACGTGACCTTATATCAAAATAAAGAACGTGAATTATAAAAATGAAAATAAAATTGACACGCAGTCATGGCATGTACAAGGAATAGTTTTAGGCTGTTCCTATTTAGGAAGATTAGTGTATTGCATAGAGAAAGATTTTCTGGCCGTTCGGCCTAACTGCCTTGATATTTCAAACTGAGCGTACTGGTTCAAGTGGACCCTCTCACAGACTAATTGATATTTATATTTCGCGACTGGAGCTCAGAGATACACACTTGTTTCTACAGTTTTTACCTGTCAGCCTTAGATCGATAGATAAGGCAGAAGAAACAGGTTTAGCGATATCAGTGCTAGTTTTCACTATAAACTTGTAACCAATCCATTGGTTTTGTGGGTACTTACGCCTTTTAATTGGCAACACCGAAAGCTTATCACCAATTCGCAGAACAAAGGAGGTCGACTTTCGCTTGGCACCCTTGAAATCTAGACAATCCTATCTCCACGACAAGTGGTCCTCGCTTTTACACCGATTTCGTGAGTTAAACTGCCTTTTCTTCATTGAACCGTGCACGATAAGATAATACCTGGCGCGTGCTTCTCTAGCTCCTAAGGCGGCTTATCGCCCGATGGGGGTTGGGTAAAGCCGACTAATGTGAAAAAAGTTATAGAATGCTTAGCTGATTAGGCCGATTAGTACGACAATGCTGTAAATATTATTATTTCTATGGCTCGGTTTTCCGATCCGAGTTACCAACTGGCAAACCACAAAAACTAGAAATTATCGTTATTGCTAAATTTAATTATAAACCCCATAAATAGGTGGGGTACGTGCGCAACAAGTTCATTTTTAATTATTTATAAATTATGATTATACTATCCGTTGAAGACTCAGTCATGCATTTTTGAATTGAGCTATTCAACAATTTTTCAGTGATATTCTACTGCTATGAAATAACGATTTTGCTAAAATTAAATTTGCTTTAATTAAAAAAAAATGGATATATGAATGAAGTATCAGAATGAGTGTTTCCATGTAATGCTTGTACGTAAGCACATTGACGAGCAAGCATGAAAAGTAAGAAAAATGTCAGCGACAGTCGCAGAACTTTATTTATCGAGAATTACTTATCTGAACACGAGTTATTGCACTTTGGCAGGACCAGTTTAGAGAAACGAATTCCTCCCTCCAATTAAAGCAAAGCCGAACAGAATATAGATTATGCAACACTTTTAATTGAGATTTTAAATCCTTTTAAGATTTTCCCGGTTTGTTTAACTTTGGTACAAAAGAAATTTTAATAAACAATGACAATAGTTAGCTACTTATCTTGGTTGAGATTACTTTTGGAATATGCTTTGAGTGCTCAACATGCTTTAAAATGCAATAGTTGAGATAAGATATTCAAGTCATTGCTGACAAGGTTGACCGATCTCTTCCACATACGTTTCTTTCCAGCCATGACCAATCTATGGAAGGCATTGACACGTCGCAAGACGGAGGACGTAAACGAAGGGGAGTCTCAGCTGGCGCGAGTCCTGAACCTCTTTGATCTAACGGCACTGGGAGTGGGCAGTACTCTTGGACTAGGCGTCTATGTTCTGGCCGGCCAGGTTGCCTATAACATTGCTGGACCAGCGGTAACCATTTCCTTCCTGATTGCGGCCATCGCGTCTGCGTTCGCTGGCATCTGCTATGCGGAGTTTGCCGCTCGTGTGCCGAAGGCGGGAAGTGCTTATGTATACAGTTACGTAACCATTGGAGAATTCGTGGCCTTCACCATAGGATGGAACCTGATTCTTGAGTATGTGATTGGCACGGCTTCAGTGGCGCGCGGTCTTAGCGGCTACTTCGACTCACTGATCGACAATAACATGTCGAAGGCACTGAACGAATCTATGCACATCGACGTGGATTTCCTGGGCGACTATCCGGATTTCCTGTCCTTCGGCATGGTGCTGTTGCTGGCGGCTATTTTGGCCTTTGGCGCCAAGGAGTCCAGCTTTCTGAACAACATCTTCACCACTGTCAACTTAGTAACGATTGCCATTGTCCTTGTGGCCGGAGGCATGAATGCCAACGCCGACAACTGGCGCATCCCGGAAACGGAGGTTCCCGAGGGTTTCGGCACTGGTGGCTTCATGCCATTTGGTATTGCCGGAGTAATGGCTGGAGCGGCCAAGTGCTTCTATGGTTTTGTGGGATTTGACTGCATTGCCACCACAGGTGAAGAGGCCATTAATCCGAAACGGAATATTCCGCTCTCAATCGTGGTCTCACTGATCATTATCTTCCTGTCCTACTTTGGCGTGTCAACGGTGCTGACAATGATGCTACCCTACTATCTGCAGGACAAGGACGCTCCCTTTCCACACGCCTTCGATGCCGTTGAATGGTACACCATTAAATGGATTGTTACTATTGGAGCAGTGTTCGCGCTCTGCACCAGTTTGTTGGGCGCCATGTTCCCACTGCCCCGAATCCTTTACGCTATGGGAAAGGATGGCATCCTGTTCAAAAAATTGTCCACGGTCCACAGCTACACAAAGACCCCACTTCTGGCCACAATTGTATCCGGCATTTTTGCATGTAAGTTGGCTGCTTGCGGAATAACCTCCTTCAGTTGATATAACTTCCTAATCTTACGTAGCAATTATGGCCCTCCTCTTCAACTTGGACCAGCTGGTGGACATGATGTCCATCGGTACACTGCTCGCTTACACCATCGTGGCCATTTGCGTGCTTGTGCTGCGCTACCAGGACGAGGAGATGACCAAGCTGGTGTCTGTAAAGGCTCCCAACGTGTTCAAGCAATTCGTTAATGGTAACTCCTTTCGGGAGCCCAACTCTATGACCTCGGCCATCACCAAAGTGGGCATCGTGGTGTTTGCCATCTTCTGCCTAGTGTGGTGCTCGTTCCAGAAGGTGTTCGACCTAGATAGCACTGGCGGGATCGTAGCCCTTAGCGTGGTAGGCTTTGTACTGATCCTAATCTGCGTGGTGATCGGCATGCAGCCGGTATCGACCATCGAGCTCACATTCAAGGTGCCACTGGTGCCGTTTGTTCCCTGCCTTAGTGTCTTTGCGAATCTGTACTTGATGTTCCAGCTGGACCTGAACACCTGGATTCGCTTCCTCATCTGGATAGTGATCGGCTACGTGATCTACTTTTGTTACGGCATGCGCAATTCTACGCAGATAGCCAGGTCTCGCAACAATGCTGAGGGGGTTGCCAATGCGATGCAGAACCAGGGTCAGCACGAGAACCCTGCCTTCGAACCGGACTTCAAGGTAGACAACGGCCGTCAGCCACCACCTTATGAGTTCTCCGAGAAGTTGTAAGGGCCAACAGCATTTTAGCCAAGTATTATAACCCCATTCGTATTCCTCTTACTTGAACTTCATCCGATTTTACATCCTCCTCTGAATAGAACAACGACTCCTCTGCCTTCTTAGCTAACACGTTTATGTGAGAGAGATGAATAGATTGCGCATGGAAATTAAATGGATACCGCACTGCCTGCCCTTATTGCGGACGTGCGGATCTGTTATTTCTCTGCGCCTCAGGACTTCTAGAGAGAGCTCAGAACAGACTCTATTTTAACTTTTCACCCTTCTACCCACCATTTTACCCAACGTCGTACCGATTTTAAATCACCGCAAACGATTCAGACACAATGCCCAAATTGTTGTGATATTTGTAAATATACTATATATAGAGTAATAATGATCACATATTTGTATATTTGTCACAATTACTGTCGTTATGTAAATGCAATTGTATCATAATATTGTATGTCATCGCAGATAGGCGGGCAACCCGCACAACCGTTGTCGCACATAGTGTTTAAGCCTTTTAGCTGCTAAGCTTCCAACATTATTATGTTAATATAAGTCAAAACAGAAACGAATTTGTCCCTTTCCTGTTTATTAAAAATGCAATGATGTTCAACATAACGTGTTTGGTATTCTTAATTGAGATGTGGTTTGCACCCCACAGACAAATCCTCGAGTCCTGAGACGGGATGAGCTTTGGGACTCATAAATATTTATCCAGAAACTGCTGATGTTGGCCCGGTCCCCGAGCTTCTTCCTTACTTCCTTACTTTGGAAGGACTCAGTCCCCGAGTGAAAACTCCTGAAGTCCTTCCTAAGCGTATATCTTTCTACATTTTTGGCGACTCGGACTGGGTTTCCCGTAGAGTCCCAAGACCAGAATCCACTCTGTTTGCTAACCTGGTTAGTTCAATGGCAAAGAATTTAACCCCTGTCCCCTACCTTTGTTCTATGTCTTGTTCCACTTCTCTCTAATTTCTAAGCCTTTGGATAGCCTTCCAGAGCCGACGCGGGTCGAAAAAATCGCAGCTCAGAGCCAAAAAGCCAGACAAAAGTTGTTTGGATAATGCAGACAAACACACACAGGCATCACATATGAATAAATGGGACGGTCCGGAATAAGCCAAGAGGAGGATTGCCATCGTTGGATGGTCCACAAAGGCGTCGACTGAGAAAATAAAATTGTTTTGCCTGGATTTTCCCTTCACCCCTTCTATTTCAATCTTTTCCCAGCACTAATTTATGCACTTTAAAAGCATATCAAATGCTTACGTTGGATGGAAGGGGTCGCCGGAAAGCAAAAAAAATATTGCAAGAGAGGATTGTAATTTGACTTTTGTGTCTTTCCTGCGCACATATGCGGAAAAATGCAATTTTTCACACGCTACCATTAGAGCAATGGCGAGTATAAGCTCTCTGCACAATTTTCATTCCTAGTTCTTCCGCCCCCACTTGGCTTGTAATCAATAGAAGCTTTAAAGAAATCGCCATAACGGACCGCAAATGCGATCGCTTTAAAGGAAAGCCTAAAAGTATGCAGCTCGGCTTTACGCCAACAAGCCGGAACCTGAGTGTAAACATGGTGCATCTATCAGAGATTGGCACTTTACATGGCCGATATGAATCTGTCGGGTGAAAATGCTGTGGTACGGATGATATGTCTGTAGAAATGGCGGTATTTAATGGCCATATTCTGCTGCCTTTGCGGATGCAATTTTCGTTGTATCGATTCGATAAAACACCCATCTCACATGAGCGCTTTGGAGAATGCCACAAAATTTTTTTTGCTGCACTGGTACTCAAATAAAATTTCGGACTAAAAGTATCTGATGCAATGCAATTGGAAGGTAAAAGGTATATAAATAAACAATAAATGCCTGAAATGGGCAATACGATTAGGGGAAACAGAAAGGAGCTCCAGCCATTTTTGGCGCCCGTTGAGCGCGCTCTGCGTTTGTGGTTTCATTTGTGAGTTTTAATTAAATACGTTTAAATATTTGTTATTTCCGACAGGCAGGCAAACCAAACCAAGGGACCAGAGCAGCAACAGCAACGCAGGAGAAGTCCCCTTTGGCATCCGTCCACCTGGTAAATATTAGCGAAAAATTAGCAAAGTATTTTAAGCGCAACATGTTCGTCCTGCGGCTTTCTACAGCAATGTCCCTCAGCATCCTGTGGGAACCCATGGAAACCCAGTGGGAGTGTGCGCCGGTTAGGGACAAGGGGTCAAGAGGAATCCGGCGGATGACTGCACATCATTTGCAAAGTTTTCGGTGCGTGTGCATTTTATTTATTTATAAATAATGCATAATTAATTTAAAATGCGTGCGTAAAATTGTTGTTAAGTGCTTAATCCTGTAAAGTGTTACAGCAAGCGAGTCGTGACATAGAGGATTGGCCTCTACAGCCGACCGGATATTGAGTTGCATGCATGCATTTTTCATAAGCCTGTCACGAAATTGGGCGATTTGGGAGTGCTAGATGAGAAAGCACTAAAGGCTTGCAATTATTTATTTGTTTTTAATTATATAGGCTATTTGAAAGCCCTTCAGATTGTTCTTTTATTTCAAATACATTCCGAACCTTGAAACCATTTTATTTTTTTTCTCATTCGAATGGTTTGTTCCTCCTCTCTGGCACTCTGCAGACCAATTAACAGAAATTTCAATTTGCAAAATAGAATGAAAACCGAAATTGCTAATGATTCTGGTTGCTCCGTCCACTGGTCGCCTTGACCGCCCACGTTCTACGCCTGTTCAATGCAATTTGAGTCCGCAATTTTGTCAAAGTCAAATAGTTGAAAATTTAACATGCGGTCACAAAATCAAATTAACTTTTATCGCGAATATATTTTACACAGCCGCAGCGCGGGCGTCATTTTTAAAAATTGAATTTTCTGTACAAACTGTTGGGCATGTGGGCATAATAAGCCGATCGCCATCAATTAAGAAAATGATCCGCGCATTATGCGAATGCGAAAGCGAAGGCCACTAGTATATAAATATGGTTTGGCACCGACTAGAGTAACAGGGCAAAATATGGTCGCGACGAGGGATTTGGGGAATTAAGCGTACATTTTCAGCATGTGCTAAGCAGGCGCGAAGGGAGAGCAGTTCAGGCCACCCTTTGTGCGGTCGTGATGATGACATTCCGGATGTTGGTAGAAATGACTGCGATGAAAGGTGCTAAAAGTCGTAGTAGTCTTTCCATTTCCATAATTTCCATCCACAAAGATCCCTGTCTATGACTAGTCTTATATTTTAAATTGACATTTTCAAGAAGCTCACACAAATTGCTTTTCACGTGTATCGCCAAAAAAGGCTTTAGTTATTAAATAAATTCACAATTTTCTCTATTTTTTTACGCACAGGTGGTATGGTAGCAGGATGAAAAAATAAACTGAAAATCGAGATCTATTCAAATGCACACACAGCACGAACACGAAGACACATGCATGCAGTTGGAGATGTGGTGAAAGCGTATTTTCATTTAGACCACACCATCGACGCATCGAGCCGTTTAACCAAATTTATAATACGCACTGTTGCACGTCTCGCACCTCTTGATTATTGCAGCCACGCCAGTCAATATCTGTACCACCAACGAGTCTATGCAATCGCATTTGGCCTTTTTTGTAAATCAAATCAGCGGTATGGAGATGGGAGACGGACAAAAAAGCAGGATGGTGGGACCGTGGAAGGACTTTGTGATTTTTGATGACAGCAATGAAATGATCAAAAGGCCATAAAATGGCCGTTTGGACTATAAGAAAAATATCGTCGACATGTGGAAAGCATAAAAACAATGCGCGCCGCATTCAGACTAAAAGGATATATAAAATTTCAAATGCAAATACGCAGCCCAAAAGCCAAGGTAAAAGGGTAAGCCTATTACAGGGACAATAATGGCGCCATTAAAGGGGTTATCAAAATGGGTTGTTAAGGAGCAGGGGAATAAATCTCATCACATATATGTAATGTCACTGCCCAGAGGATATTTAATGGAAATCAAAATTCAAAGCTTCGGCCCCAAGCACGGCACATCTCTTGAGTAATATAATGCTGGCCCAGACTGTGCCAAATCCACTCAACTGACCAAATTTGTCCGTTGCATGGCACACAGTGCGAACTCAATTTGCTCCGGAAATTGATCGTTGTGCAGTTCGTCCTCGGCTCTGTGTGTCGGCTGCCATCAATTTGAATAACAATATTCACGCCAATTAAGAAATTAATTGCCTACTTTGCTTACTGCATCTGAAGGAGACACACAAACAAGCTCCCTAACAAACCTGCGGCGGATTCCCAATGGCATCTTGGTTTTATGAGCACACTCAACACAGCCACAAAGTAGAAACGCTAATGAAATTTCGGCCCAGGCGGCTCAGTGGTGTTTGGTTCAGCTTGTTAGGAGTGCTTGTTAGGGGAGTGGTGCGCGTGTGTGGGGCAAGTTGGGCCGAGAGGTCGCCACTGCGCAACCTAAGACCGGTAGGTGGCATATTTGCAAAGCTTTTAATTTAATGACACATTATCATTGCAGTCTGCGATGTCAAAGGCAAGGAGTATGCACACATGGGCCCATTTAAGCCCTTCACTCCAGCAGATTGCCGCCTGCAACGATAAGTGAGCCCACGCACAAGCAGATAACGCGAGGAGCCGGCAAACCGACCTTCCTTTAAAATTCGTTTGAGGGTTCGAGAAGCACATTGGGTCCGTGAACCGGAATTCGGCCGACGAGTTCATTTATGATATTTCAAGTCAATTAAATATTTTTATAGCTTACTTCTGAATTTAATTGGTGAACAGTTTTGTAAGAACAGTAAAATAAACACTCAGCTAATAGCTTAATTTCAAGATTTCCTTTAATTGAAAAAAATTATTGAAATAGTTCAAGCATAACACCCGAAAACTTATCAACGCGTTAAAGCTTGAGATTCAGCTTCGCTTTAACCTAATGATTTTTAAAAGGAATCTATTATTTTTGTTGAGCTAGAAGATAAAATTCAAAAAAATTATTTCTTAATTTTTCAGCCTAATTTAGCATACAAATTAATAGAATATAAACTGATATATATTCTCGCTTAAGATGGAAAGTATTTCACACTTTTATATCCTAATTTAATTACGGTCGGTAAAGAGTCTAGGTTTGACATTAAAGCGGCCTCAGACATTGGGGCATTGTGAGTAGATGGGCGTGGCCAACATTTGAAGAAACTTTCACTTTATTCTGAATGCTTAATAGTTTATGTTTTCCTAATCTCGTTGTTTATGCGTGCGAACATGGCTAGTTTTCCTAGGAAAGTGCGTCTGATTAGGAATATATTTTATGGGACCAGAAAAACTGCAGTTTTATTTATACTCAAATGTATCAAAATTAGTTTAGTATTTTTTCTAAATGTTATAGTTTTTTGATATGACTTACTACTTCGATGCCATAACTGGATTAGATCAAAAAAGGTTTAAAAAAGGAATAAGTCAGCTCTTAATGGCGATTAAGAATATATATTAGGTTGTCAAAAAAGTCTAGCAGTATTCTCGCTAGTTGGCGCTGAAAACGCGTAGTTCTTGTTTTATTCATCGCATCAGGTCATACTATACCTTTTTGGAAAGCTCATTTCACGCGCTAAAACGTGTTTGATTGACTGTCTTTTCTTTTAAGTCGTTCGTAAGTTAAAGCGTCGCAATCATGGAGCAAAATAAAGAGAAAATGCGGCATATTTTAAAGTACTTCTACGATAAAGGCAAAAATGCATCTCAAGCCGCCAATATAATTTGTGCAGTTTATGGACCCGATACAGTTTCCATTTCCAACGCACAACGATGGTATCAACGTTTTCATTCTGGTGTAGAGGTGGTCGAAAATGCGCTACGCTCCGAGTTTCTTGCCAATAGGGAAGCGAGCTTCTATGAGAGGGGCATTATGAAGTTGGCATCCCGCTGGGAACGCGTCATCGAACAAAACGGCTCATATTTGACTTGAATCGCATTATTGTAACCAATTTTATGAACAATTGAAAATTCAATAAAAATACCGCAAGACTTTTTTGACAACCTAATATGACTTGTATGGTAAGCTTTCTCAAAATAACTTACTTTCGGTTGGGTTGACTTGTAGCCGGTCCAAGTTGGCGAAAAAATTATGAATGTGCCCCGTCGCATATATACATATACTCAATGTCTATTAAATATTCAGAAGCAACGCTTGTTGCAATAACAATATCGCTACTGCATCCATTTAATTTCATTTTAATGCAAAACATATCCGGCAAAGGGTTCTGGTCGACTGGCCAAAAGTCGTTTTATTCAGCAATCAAATGATTGGGATGCAGAGGGCAATTGGAGAGGTTCAATTAAATGCCAAAAGCCTGTTCAGTGCATTATTTTTGGACGAGTTGCATATTTTTGTAATGTTCGATTGCCGCTATCATCATTTATATTTGCCTGTTGCTTGTGTTTGCCGAGAGCCATTCGAAATAATGTGCTTTATTGCTTAGTGGCCGGACAGATGCACGTACCAGCTCATAAGAGCAGAGTTTGCCAGAACAAGAATAGCAAGCGAGCGCTCGATCATTTTTACCTCAAGAGGCTCTCAATGATTCAGGAAACAATCTTGGCGAATATGTATTCAAATTCAAGGTCAGATTTCAAGAGATTTGTCGGAGTACTATCATAAACTGGTGTAGAATTTGTGAAGAGACTGTTGGTCAACATGCCGCTGGCTGAACGCAGAGAAGTAAATCAGGAGATCCATTTGCTACTGCCTCCAACAGAGTTTTTTCCATATTAGCTTCATCATTGCTGCCACACAAATGGGCGAGACACTTCACATCGAAAACCAGATCCAAAAATAATTGTGCTTGAGTGCGTGGCCGAATGCGGATCGACAAATTCAGCGACCCAAGACCAAATCACCGTCATCGTTTAAGTGGTTTTGATGAGCCCTCGACTCGCCGGCTATGATTTCTTCTCGGCCATGTTCAACCCACCTAAGAAAATGGTAATGAAAACATTATGCCAACAGCAAAGTCATAGTCGGCTATAAAGACGCCGGCTGAACTGGAGCAAAGCATCATTGGGTTCAATACTAGCGACAAAGCAACATCTTCAGTCAGTTCGAATAGTTCGACAATCTCCGAGAGAACTATAGCCACAGAATGGTGAGTTATATTCAGACAGCTAAATATAATATCTCCGATTATCCTCAAAGACCATCTTCCACGTTTAACATATCATAGTCTTTAAATTTGGCTTTAGAATACCATGTAAGGAATACCCTTTCAATTACTCTATATCCCATCTTCTGTGCAGAAACTCCTTATCGCCCTTGCCTTATGCCTGGTAGCATTTGCCGCGGCCCAGTCTGCAGATCCAGTGGAGCCTTCCGCAGAATACCTGCCTCCTGTAGGTGAACCGGAGGCTGCACAGCTCTCCGAAAGCGGTTACAAGTACAAGACCGTGCGTCGCCTAAAGCTGCGACACCGCCGCGAGGTACCCAATCAGGAATACCTTCCACCAGTCGAGAACGCACCTAGCCAGGAGTATCTGCCTCCCGTAGATGCCGCCGTCGCCGTCGGGGACACGAAAGTGGCTGACGACGGTTACCGTTATAAGACCGTACGCAAGCTCAAGTTCCGTTCCCGTCACCGCCGCGACGTTTCCGAAATCGCGGAGCCCAGCAACGAGTACTTGCCGCCTGTGGAGGTGGAGTTGGCTCCTGAACTGAAAACCGTTCTCGGAGATGATGGTTACCGTTACAAGACCGTGCGCCGGCTTAAGCTGCGTCGCCACCGCCGTGAGGCCACCGCAGGGGAGGTTGCTGCCGATGCCGCTCCCAATGGAGAGTACCTGCCACCCGCCGAAGCTGCTGCCCCTGCTGAGGCCGAGCCAAAAGCCGCTGAAGAGGGCACCGAGTTAGCCAAGGACGGTTACCGGTACAAGACGGTGCGCCGCCTGCGATACCGCTACCGCCACTAGTATTTTGACCCGAACCTAGGCACATTGAACCAAATTGATCCTTTTAGTACTCTTGGGAAGTTAAGCCGGACAGGGATTCCTGTCTCGTCTGAATGGCTTCCCTCCTTTACCTTTATCCAATATATACGTAGACTTTCAGTTCTCCCAGCATATGGAATAATAAAATTTATTCATGAAAATCAGTTGAGACCTCTTTCCTTGCAATTCGTTAGCTTATAACCACAAAACGGGATTAAAATGGCACTTTAAATAATATCCTTACAAAAAAAACGGACTTCGCCTAGGAGCTGGCCCCAATGGGGGAAATGGAATTGAAATCAATAGCCAAGTAATGGGCGAAAGGCAAGCGGAAAAAACTTTTGGCCCTCGCCAAGAGGACCAAATTCTATTTTCAAATTAAGGGTGTTCTTTTGGAGGCACAATGAAGAGGATGAGAAAGGGGGATGGGTAGGAGCAGGAGGCAAAAAGCAGAAGGCCGGGAGCAAGAACTCCGAGTGCAACGACTTCCCGCCAGCTCCACTCGGTCGACTGGGCTGGCATCTTTTTACGGTCAACTTTTCGTAATATAATTTTGCATTTATTTGCACAAAGTTGATTTTTCCTCTGATTTCTTTGTTTTCTTTGGTTGGCTTTGCGGACTGCTGGCCAAATTACAATATTGTAGCGGTTCCAGTCGTTGCTCCTTGCACTATGTTCTAGGTTCTTGGCTCTTGGTCGAAAACCAGGAAAATGACCAAAAGCATCTGGAAAAGAGTAAATAAAACATTTTTTGTGCGCCAAACATAAAGTTAGGTAATTGAGCTCTTGACTTTTAGTAGCTAGCCCAGGCCAAAATAATTATCAAGGTGTTCAAGCTGAATATTCGATAGGAAATAGATCCCTTAAGGTTTGTCTCATACTACTGACATACTTATAAGATATGAAATCCAATATAAACAGATATTGGCCCTTTCTTCTGATATATACGTTATATATTTTCCTTTCCAAAATAATTTATATTTCTAGACGACATGATATTAATTGACATTAACCATTCTAAACACGAAATACAGAATTTTTTGACAACCTATCGTTTTTTGATTATTAAAAATATTTTTTCTTCGTGATATATATTTTTAAACGAATCTAATATATTCATTTTCTCTACTAGTGTTTAATTTAAAAATATAAAAATGACAGTTTGTTTCAGTTTAAGGAAATTAAGGTTGCTTAATATTATATTTAGCAAAAAAGTATGCTGTGGAAAAGGAACAAGTGAAATTTAAGTAAAAAATTAAAACATTTCGCTGACTGAAAATTCATTACATTCTGAAATGCGGCTTAAAAACTTTATAATAAAAAATCATTTAAGAGCAGTTTGAATACCCCACAAAGCGAAGTTTTATAAAATTATATTATTATAAACCCTGCTATAATCGTTATATTAAATAGACATATTAACCCTTTGCAATGAAAAAAAAAACAAAAGATATAGATGATAATAAAAATATGAATTTTACTGTGTGAAATTTACCAATTGATTGTAATAATTGCCACCTAGGCTCCAAAGAAAGGATTTTTCCTTTGACGTTGCTCGTTATTTAATGCGCAGGTTGGTCTCGGAATTTATTTCGTTTGGCCGGCTCTTTTGGCAGGCCCAATTAGCAATTGCCCAAAAACCGGAAGCAACAGGAGCACACGAAGCCGTCAAAAGCCAAGCACACAAAGAGCCAAATGCAGGAACTCGCAAGCAAACTTATAAAATATTTAAAGTTATGGCTGCAGCCGAGCTAGTAGCTTGACCCAGGTCTTTCCGTTTGGGGCAAAGCAGTTCAAAGCTGAGGCAGCAAATTGAGGTGAAGTATTTAAGGCAAAAGCGGCTTGAGTCCGTCCGCCTCATAAGCCGATAGGGCTCTGAAAGATGAGGAATTTGGAGCCACTGGGGACTTAGAGAACATCTGGAGGTCGAAATTCGGCTGCAGGGGCTCACAGTTTGTTTTTATCTGCTTTGCAAGAGATTTTCTCACCGACTTTTTCGTTTTCCCACTTCCACTGCTATCATTTTGCCTACTGCTTCCATTAAAAATCCATTTAGGCAATATCTTGATCGACTTGCTCCACCTAATCCACTCACGAGTGGGGAGGCACCAGATTGACGTTTAAGCAAATGAGTTGCCAGCTTGCGATGGAGCCAGTTTGTATCAATGAGCTGTTTTCGTTTTATTTTATTAATTGAGGTTTTACTGGATGAATATCTCAATTAACCTTTTGGGGCCCCTAGATACACGGCGTTGTCGGATTCCAATAGACAGCAATTAAATTAGCAGGAGAATGTTTCGTTGATTTAACATGCCTATGGAATTTTTACAATGTCCCGCCCTCTGCCATCATCTGTTCGATTGCCAAAACAAGTGAAGCGTATAAATTGCTTGGGATCATATATGCTGAAATATGGGCTGGCGGAAATTAAGCAATGACAGGGCACTCACTCCCTTTATCTATGCATTTTATATAAGTTCCGCAACTTAATACATCATCTACCAATTAAAGAAATTTTAACAATTTTATGAATTTTTTGTAAGGAAATGTCTGCTTATTATTGGTATGCCATAGATTTATGATTGACAGGAAAGTGCATCAACATGTCGGCCTCAGACCTGAATTTTTATAAAATAATGTATTTGATATACATTGATAAAAAAATAATAAAAAAAGATAGAAATAAAGCGAACTAAGCCTGGGGTTATGCAGAACTTTGCGGGCCGACAAAGTAGGATTTTTGTAATCAATATTGTTTACATCTTTAAAAATAATAAGAATAAATATATCACAGTATTGGAAATTAAATTTACTAATTTGAATAATTAAATTAACACTTTTAACTGTGAAAAATAAATTGAGTAATCAGAAAAATAATAAGCTATACTTATGTATACTTTTTAATTTGCATTTATTTAATTATTAATATATTATTGCGATCTTCGCCCTCCATTTTATGGCCATTTATGACTTATAATTATTTCGTAATCCACTCTCAGTTATCCGACACATCTGGCTTAACAATTTAAGCTCTAAAATTGTTTGTTTTTGTTTGTCATCAACAAAATAAATGAAAGGACAACGGAAAAATGTAGGTATTTGGTAATGGGAGGTCAAATATAAGATCTACGCAGTTCGAATTTACGCCAGAATAGATGTTCACATATTTGGATTAATGTGGGCCTCATTCTGTTTTAAAAGTTTTTAAATTCTTGGAATATTGGAATACTATTAATATACTCATATAAATTATGTACTTACATTTATTCCTAATAATGGTTACAAAACTATTTTAAATTCCTAAATCTAAGTTTTTAAGATTTAAATAGAGTTAATTAAGTATTCCATCTCCTCATTCCCATGGAGTATTTCGGATATATTTAAACTCATACAGAGCCTTGTCCTCGGTTCCCACATCTTATCGACTAGGCCAATCTGCCACGCCCGTGACGTCATGTCAACCTCTCCGAAAATATTTGTGTACCAGGGATTTACATTGCAGTAATTGATTTAATTTAGGCTGGGTACCGTGTTCGACTTGATTGCAGATTCATCAGCGAAGAGAACGCATACTGATAAGTCAAATCAAACAGAGTGTATGTGATGTTCGTTCTGGACTCTGTGTTATGTTTTCGTTTTAAAGGGGCAAGGGTAGTGGAAAGGGGAAGGGGATAGCGAAAATGCGGTATGCTGTGTTGGTGCGGTTGATAAATGCCTGTTCGTTTTAAAGCTTCTTTTTCAGATGACCAAACGGAGACAACAATGAGTAAACAAGAGCAACAGCGGGTAATAAAGTTGATTGCAGCAGTGGCAAATTGAATATTTGCCAGCGTGTGTGTGCGCGCAGCGTTTGTGTTTGTGTTTGTTCGCATTGTTAAATGTCCGCATCAGCAGAGAAGCAAAATAGGATGATAAATGCTAAACAGAGAGAGGAGAGAACAACTGGCTACCATTGTTAACGGCAGTGAGCGGGCAACCCCATCTCGCTCACTTCCCCACAATTTGCTACCAAAATCGAAGTGCAACCCTTGCTCTCTGAGTCGCTCTCCCCACTAAGCTGTTGCTTCAGCTCAATTGTTGCTCTGCGGATGCTCTCCCAATCCAGGGTTCTAGATATTTTTATTTTTCCCGCTTGTCGTTGGCAAATTCTGTTCACAATTCACTTATTGCTATCACTCTTTGGATTACTCACTCGCCACGGAGAGACGATAACGTGCTACTGCCACAAACGGCACCACAGCGGCGATAAGTGCTCTCCAAAATTAAATAACACTGTCTTACAAAATTAGAAACAACTTCTGGTATCATTATCTACTATACCTACTCTATACACAGTTTCTATGTATTATTATATATTATTTACTTGTTTAAAAATAAAAATAGGAACGTTCTGTTACCTAGTCCCCATAAATATTTTGAAAAGACATGTCGTTTAACTAATGTTTTGGTATATAATAACAATGAGTTAACTATGAGATTTACGCATCCAATTTGGATCTACTTGTAACAGGTTTTTAAAGATAACAAAATTCTATGTAAGAAAAAACAATGAACTTTGACGTAGGAGCATCATGATAAATCCAAATAAGCAAATCCAATCAAAATTGCCACCAAATAAATAAAGTTATAAAGAGAACATTTATTTTCCTATGAATAATTGTATTTGTTGGTTAATTGTTCATGGTGATATAGATTTTAATTATAAAATTCTAGTTACTTAAATCGTTTGTTGTGTAGTGTAACTAACCATTTTATTGGCAGCAGGTCCTCGGTAATTCTCCGATTGTTTACATCAGCGAAGGCGGAACAACAACAAAAGCATCCTCCGCCCTCTTTCTCACTGCATTTGTCTCTCTCACGTGCTTCTGGTCTCGAAGAAAAGAAAAGCGAGGCGCTGGCGCTCTCCGCTCTCTCGCTGGCTTACTCTCTTTGTGCGGCGGCTGCTGCGCCGCCAATTTTCTGCAGTTGTGAAAATCGACGAGGAGAGCAGCGGCGCACTTTCCGCTAGGAAGCTGCCAACGAACGGCGAAGTGAGAGACGACAAGTGGAAAGTGGCAAGTAGATGTACCAAAATGTGGCTGTGCCACTAGTGCTAATCGCAAGTCGGCCTCCCGTTGAGCTTAGATTTCGTCGGTTTTCATTTGGTTGCTTTCGCTTTTATAGTTGCTTTTGTAGCCTCTCTCCGTCCGCCCGTCTATGTTATGTGTGTATATACACGCACTCACACACTGACAAATTGGCCCGGCTAGTGTATGAGTGTGGTACATTTTGCAGTGTTGCCGAACATCTGTAAATGTATCTGTATCTGTGGCAGCCAATAGTTGTGGCAAGGCCCTCGAGCCACTCGCAACACAAAACAACAGCAACAGCAATAGCAACGGCAACATCCCCAATAAGTGGCAGAAACTACAGCGCACAACAGCAGCCGCATTTATTGTTAATTGAAATAAATTGAAATAAATTCCCCGACTTTGCTGCTCATATTGTTAATAAAGAGCAATCGGGGCAAAGCAAGAGTGGAATCGGAGGCAGTAAACAAAACAGTGAGCAAATGTTTTTGGTTTAGTGTCATTGCGTCGAACCTTTGTGTAAAGTTCCACGAAAATCTAAAGAAGTCGATGCGAAATAAGTGATTAAGTGAACATCTCAATGTTGGTATCACAGGCAATGCGTGGCAGTAACAAAAAAGAGCACAGACATTTATTTATAGTCGCCAGTGTGTTCCCATTAATGAGTGTCCGCGTTGCAAGTTCAATTGATAGAAAACTACGACTAAAAACAGGGAGAGAGTGATTTAAGCAGCTCCTGTAGAAATACAAGCTAGCACACAGATCTGCAGTAATATTTGAAACCCCTCGATCGGCAAGTGGATATGTAAATACCTTCTCGCCGAGTCAGATTCTCAGAACGAAATTGTTTACACTATTTGATTATTGTTTAGCTAACAGCCACTTATGTGAACTTCCACGTGTATACAACCAAAATACATATGTATGTGCGTACTTTAATTGGCGGGGAGGGTCTGCCACCAGCAGTTTCCCCCTGCCAACACAGCAATATTTGAGTTTTTGTATTGTCTCAGTCTCACATAAATCAATTGTATTTAATTGTGCAGATGAGATTTCGAAAGCAAATATCACCCCTACCTGTTGGGGTCATTGCACTCCAAGTGCGTTAGCCTCTTTGAGCCCCCTAAGCCCCGCTCAAGAAGGCGCCGAAAAGTATGCAGCTGTGCGGGTTCTGCAACCATTAACGTAAGGTAATATTAACGATTTTCTCACATCATTTCCTTGTTTACTCCGCAGCATCAGCGACACGGGTCATGCGCAGTGGCCTCTTTGGTAGTTGCAGTTTAGCCAACAGCGACTGAAAGAGCAAAGAGCTTAGGACCATGGCCTTCTCCCGCCACAACATCGAGAAGCGCCGACTCATCGAGCTAGTCCGCCTGAACCCAATCCTCTGGGATTGCCGCCTGCCCCATTACAAGCGCTCCGACAAGCGCAAGGCCATCAAATGGAACGAGCTGGGTCGGCTCTTTAACGTCAACGGGGAGCGAGTGCAACGCACGTTCACTTCCCTCCGTGAGATCTTTCGTCGCGAGCTTAACCACGAAAAGATGCTGGGCACCACGCGCTTTAAGTCCAAGTGGGAATACTACGACGCGATGGCCTTCCTTAAGGAGGTCATTCGAGAGCGAAAGTAAGAACCTCCAGAATACCTCCAGAACTCTAGAATACATCGACATACATTTCCCTAATTATATAAATGTGTGGTCTCAGGTCTCAGGTTAACCTAAGATAAAGTGTAATAAGCTTCTTCAGTATACAAAGCGCTCCTCAAGTTCATCATAGGAAATAGTTAACATCAACGATTTCTGTTTTTTCTTATACAGAAAGAAGTTAGTTTTTTAGTCAATAAATCACAAAATAATTAAAGAGCAGAGCACTTCCAAAGATTTAGTTCATTCTATCCACCGAAATAGTTCTTAGATTTAAGTAAAAATTTCAAATACTCTTGATTTTGGGGTATAATTTTAAAAAATTTCAATTTCTGTAAAGGAGAAAAATAGTAAAAGAAAAGCTTTCTTTACAAAATTAATTATGTAGAACGGGCTTTGCCATTATGTATAGAAAGAAGTGTTTCCGAAATATAATTTGGACGCTTATCTTTTTAGATCCCGCGAACGCATCAAACACGGCTCTCTGGATCCCACCCCTGTGAATACATGCAGCAGCACCAACAATATTAACACCAACAGCCGTAATAGCAGCAACAACAACAGCAGCAGCGCGGCTCTGGATGAGTACCAGTACTTTGCCCCCAGTGACCCCAACAACCCGAACAATCAGCCCCAGCCGCAGTCGGCGCTAAAGAGCAGTCTTCCAGCAGTTAGCATGTCCAATCTTAGTCTCAGCCAGTTGCCAGCTGCTCTGCAGCAGCAGGCCCAGCACCTTCAAGCCCTTCAGTTACAGCCAGACGTGACGTTGACTTCGCTTCAAAAACAGCCTCTGGCTACTTCCCTTTCCCTGACCACGCCCACAGCCGTGCACCACAACTCGCCCGCCCAGTTGTTGTCCAGCTCACGCTCCTGCAGTTCTTCGCCATCCATCTACATCAAGGACGAGCCAGGCTCACCGGAAACGGGGTGTGCAGATGAAGGAAAATCCGAAAATGGCCCAGAAGCGACTCGGAAGAAGTTGGCCACTATTCGCCCGCAGACCAAACAGCAACTGAAGTCTCGGCTGCAGCTACCCACGCCCAAAAACTCATCATCGTATGCCACTTCGCCGCCCCATTTGATAATCAATGCCAACAACGAGCTTATCGACGCGGATGCTGGGGACTTGGAGGAGGATCTAGACGACTTCGACGAGGATGATGACATGACTGCCCACTGCTCTCCAGTAGTCGGTCCGGGCGAAATGATGGGCACCGATGGTAGACTATCGGCCGAAAGCAGTTATATCGGAGAGGGCGGTGGTTGCGTCAGGGGCCTGGGCCGATCTCACTCCCAGGCGCGCCACATACCCACCTCTAGGGAACTTCTCTATATGAAGTTCGGGGATTTCCTCGCCGCCAGACTAAACACTTTGCATGAGACTGTAGCGAACGAGCTGATGAACAAGATGCTGCTTCTAATAGCTGAGAAGTGAGAATATCGTGGTCAGATGCCACTCCAAAATGATTTAATATGGAACGGTGAGTTTTTCAAAACAATTAAATTCTTGTTACCCCGGTTTTTTAAGACAGTTAAAAATTAACCTTCAAAACTACATACAAAATTAATAGAAGGTGGGTAATAGGAAAGTATTCGTTTTCAATTTTTTGTCTCTCTGTCTGCAATGACTTTCTGGACTGTATTTATTCCCGTTATTTGTAGATTAACAGTAAAATGTATTCGATGAAAAGTATGTAACAGGTAGAGGAATCTTAATCAGGATAAGGATTTCCTACGCCTTCGAATACTTTGCTTACAGAATTAAACATATTACTCCTTTGTTTGAGTTTCTTAGCAGTGTAACAGATATATGAAAACCGACGCAACCGATTGTTAGTGTCGTTGTTAATTTTTCAATAAGCCCACGTTGGTGAAAGCTGGGACATTGGCTAGGTCACTAAGTCGCCTGATGGCAGAAATGATTGGAAAGAAGTGTCTACATAGATCGCTTGAACAGTTTTTAAAATGGTCAAACATTTTAGTTAGTTAGTTTAGTTACTAACTAACTCTGCGGATAGGAATGTGGTCATCAATTGCATAATGTTGCATTTTGGTATCCTTGGTCCTCGTGAAAATTGAAAAATTAACAACGACACTAACAATCGGTTGCGTCGGTTATCAGATATCTGTTATACTGCTAAGAAACTCAAACAATGGAGTAATAGGTTTAATTCAGTATGATTTTTAAAATGTTTGGTGTTTTGACCAAAAAAATGTATTTAATTGATCTGGTAACCAGAAGCCTTGCTTGAGCGCTCCAGCAAATCAAACAACAGGACCACGATCCCATAAGCTAAGCATTTAGATAAGTTGAGGCAGAAAAAACTACATTTTTAAGGGCGTACAGAAATTCTTGAACTACTTGGCGTTCCGCACAAATTTATTGCTCCGACCGATTTATTTAGCAACACACACATTTAAATTTCGACTTTTTTTACACTCAGAATTCTAGGGTCACAAAAAAGTTTAAAAGCTGAAATGCGCTTCAGACTCTCGTAGACGTAGACACATACTACGGAACAGAATGTAGAACGATGCAAGTTTGGAGATTTGAGAGCATTTCACCCATAAATAAAATGCCTAGGACCGTACAACATGACAGTAGCCAAGTCTTTCCCCACGCCCTTCGGATGACCAATTGCATGGAGGGCCAAAAGCGAACTGGCTACGCACAATGAGCCAGAATTTGAGTTAGAACAAAAAGCGACCAACCTATTTCGCACAGCTCTCAGCATTGCTTTTAGACTTATGCTCGTATTCCGACTTCACAACAATGGACCGTTGAAGAGTTTCGTCGGATGGTAAAATCTAAAGATGCGACTGCCTAACACCCTGGCACATTGGGGCTAAGAGGTATATGCAATTAGCCCCTTCCGAAGGTTTATCAACCATTGAGCATTGAGCGGTCTTGAGTTTTGAATGAATGGTTAAAGCAGCCAAGTTGTCAATTACGTGGGAAGACCGTGTACATTCTCAAAAAGTTTGTGGTTGGATAGGAAGACTGTAGGATCGAGCCCTCTTCCATCGACTGTATCTGTATCTGAACACGAATTCGCTTCTGAATCTGTATACAGCCGCTGCCTTTGTGCGAATAGTTTTGCACTCGGCACTTCAAAGCATCACATTCATGGGACGTGTGTATTTATGATTTCGTAGTATTTATGGTGCAACGCCTTTGGTGTCAGCCCTTTGGATGGCGTTGCTGGTTGCCCCCTTTCCCCATGTACTGCTTTCAAAGCCCTTTCTCCCTCTCATACCAACGGAACCGTTTTACGAGATAAGCGGTAAAAGAGGCAGTTGACCAATTGTTCGCTGACACAGTGGGTGGTTGGTCAGACCTTTATGTATAGTTACTGCAAGTTTGTTGGCACTTACAACATTATAAATTTGCCATAAATCACGATGGGCTACAAAACTGGTTTTGACCGAATGGAACGTTAATCGAACCTTAGAAACCAACAGTCAACATTGAAGTATTTTTTAGGGATTAGGCAAAGCTTAAGACAATTTAAATCTCTTTGCACAATATTTTTCGTCCCCAAGCATCCCATCACTGCAGTTCCACGCTTTGCAATTTCGGCTCTGCGGAATTCACAGTGAATAAACTTAACATTTCCTTGTCTAGATAGATGTATACTTTTCTGCACCCTGGCCCCTTGCCCCCTGGCTGTGGGCCTGACTTTCAGAGTGCCAGCCTGCCAGATTCCCAAACACTTTACACCCTTCCCCTGACCTTCCAGAGTTTCCGCTCAAAAATCAAATCTCTGTTGGCTACAATGTCTGAGGATGCTGATATACGAATTCCATACCCCATCCAATCCTGCGGAGCCATAGTCAATGTGGCAAGTTTTAACTGGCGGCGCTAAAAAGTATTGCATACCCTGCGGTGCGCGTTCCTCTTCACACATAAAATGCATATGCAAGTTAATGTTTACAATAGTCGTAAAAGTTTAATGGATTTTGCCAGCCACTGTGGGCTGGGTCAGGGGCCGAATGGCGGCTTAGGATCGTAACTTTCGAAATCAGTTTTTCCACACTTAGTGGAGCGAGGGGTGCGTGTATGCGCCTGAGTTTGTGTCTGTGTGTATGCGGCAATGGATTTCGTCACTGGAACCCAATGTTTTTTGCTCCTTTTATAATCAGAATAAATTTATTTGATTAATATGCGGCCATCGTTTCCCGCTTTCAAATTTTTTCACATAGAGTAAGTTTTGTTGATTTTGATTTGCCTTTGTTTTCCTATTGACTTTAGCACTTTTCCTGTCTGGTTTGCATTTTCGGGTATATAGTGATTGTGTTGTACTAATATTTTATGACGGGAAACGGATAAACACGGATGTGAGCCGGACACTGCCGGACTTTGCCATTGGGAGAGACGTTTCCAATTTAGTGCTAAAACTAATTTATTAGCGTAGGAAAGCAAACTGGAATAGCCAAATTATGAAAGCTAAAACCGAAGTAAGCTGTATAAGACTTTCATATACTATAGCAAACTAATTTCCGCAGTGGTTGAAGGCATTACATCCCGGTAGAATCCTTTCCATCATCTAATGAAATGCATATGCCAACCAACATAATTATATCTGTGAATCATCTGTAGGGCCACGCCCAAATTGAAAAGGCAACAAAAACGGGAAAGCCCGAGGCCCAAGCCACAGAGCCAATAACAATAACATTAGCAAGTACCACCGAAACTGCAGTTGCCAGTGGCAGTTACCCCGAGCATATGTACAAGCTCCGAAGCAAATCCGACATCTGGCAACAGAAGCTGCGTCGGTCAGGAAGTGCATAATGGTGATCGAATGTCAAATACCCAATATTTAGCTGCATCTATTCAGCTTCCATTTATTAGGAAGGTACATATATACATACATAATTTATAGGCCGGCAGCTTCCTCCGTCTGTCAGACGCACTGGACCAATCCGGAATACCCGTTGGCCCTGGGAAATTGGAAAATGCAACTGCTCTGGCCACACCATGACTGATACACAGAAGGATGCTGTGCCTTTGTCAATGCCTGTGCCGAAGCACATATCGATGGCTATAACTATGAGCAGTATCAATATTGACAGCCATTAATATGGCATTTTATGCAGTAAGAAGGGGCATCTAATGGCAGGCACGAAGTTGAGGGTTTGAGGGCAGTCTGGGACTTGCCTCTTCCTCCTGATAGTCCTGTATTTTTAATAAGCAGCAGTGCAGGAGGCGCCTCGTTCTAGCTTCCTCTTCCGCTGTTGGCTGATGACTGCTATTGGTTCCTTCTGCGATTTCAAATTTGCTAGCCCGCAGAAGTGAACGGTTTGAGCAGTAGCGGAAGAGCGGAAACGCCGAGTCACACACGACCCATCGTCGATGTCTCGAAACTCCTTTGTATTAATGGCCGCAGGGCATCTTAAAGGAACAGGAACTGATGCAGGACTACATCTCTACCTCGACGTGCCTTGACTGCAATCATAAAACTCTGTAGTTGCGTTTTCCAGCTAGTTATTGTCCGGTCAGGGCCTTGTCCCCTCCTCATATTTCGAACTAGAACTATCTTGCATATCAATCAGGCATAAAATCGTCGTCAGCTGGCGCCAGATTGCACAAAGGACGAGCCAAAATATTCGCAGGTATTTTATCGTTTTACCATTTGCCCAGCGGCAACGCGATACTTTAAATTAATAATTTTGATTGCCTCTTGGATATGCAGAGAACTTTCTTTGAGTTTTCTCAAAATTGTATCATCATTAGACTGAAAATTCCCCTTTTGACGGCACTTTGACAATTAGAGTGAAGGGTGCACAGGTTTTTTTTTGGCGTTGGCTGAAAAGTTTCCAGTGCCAGAAATGAAAGTCAAAAGTTTGTTATCAAGTTGAAAATTAAAAAACTCAGAGATCTCTTTGTTTTGTTCATTTAGACAACGAATACATGTTTTAACTAAATTAATATCCTTTATTTGTGTTCTGTTTCCATTTTTCAAACGACCTCCGAATTCTTAGAGCGATGCGAATCCTTAACGGCATTGATGCTCGACTACGAGTTGACTCAAGTCATTTGCTTGTACATAACAACAACAAAATGGATTGACATTAGGGGAAATCAACTGTCTGCAGATTACCTATGTGGATCTCAGGTCCAACAAATAATAGTTCTTTTACCCGTTACTCGTAGAGTAAAAGGGTGTACTAGATTCGATGAAAAGTATGTAACAGGTAGATGGAAGCGATTTCGACCCTATAAAGTATATATATTCTTGATCAGGATCAATAGAGAAGTCGATGGAAGTCCGTCTGTCCGTATGAACGCTGAGATCTCAGGAACTGTAGGAGATACAAAGTTGAGATAAAGCATAGAAAGTTGAAATTAAGTATGTATAATCTTGAGATACCATTTTATGGGGATACCATTATCTGGCCACACATACTCTTACGCCCACCAAAAAAGCTGATATCTCGGTAACTGTAAGTGATAGAAAGCTAGGGTTAAGCATGTAGGTTTTAATGATGCCCCAAATATGAATTTGTTTTCCGATCTAGCCACGCCCACTTAAATGCCCACTAAACCCGAAAAACCAAAAAATCTCGGGAAAAGCTAGAAAGTTGTGCTTAATAATACATATTAAATAGATGCCACAGCAACTTGCCACCAGTTTTCATTCCTTAATATTACAGTGTATGTCTTCGTTTGACCTTGCATAACATATTTTTGTCAATATCTATCAATTTATCGAAGATTTTTTTAAATCGGAATATTATTTCGCTATTTATGAAGAAATGTAGGTTTTAAGGCCTCATATGGGCAGTGACGATACTATCAGTTACTCAACATGCGTTCTCTGACAATAGGTGGCGCTTTGTGAATTTCCATTAATTTCCTTAAATTATAATAATAATATTATAGACGCCACAGTTTTCCGCGGTTTGTCGGCGTTACAGTGGGCGTGGCAAGATGCTGTAGTAAACTTCTTCATGCTTTATCTGAACTTTGTATCTCTTATTGTTCCTGAGATCTCAGCGTTCATACAGACAGACAGACGGACATGGCTTAATCGTTTTCGCTATTGATCCTGATCAAGAATATATATACTTTATAGGGTCGGAAACCTGTTACATACTTTTCAACGAATCTAATGTACTCTTTTACTCTACGAGTAACGGGTATAAAAGGTTAAGGATTAAATTGGTCAATAGGTTTCGATTTGCCGAAACTTTTTCAAATGAGAACATTTTTTAAATTATTTATTAACAAATTTATTTTATAAGGCTTGACATTGGCTGTGATGTAGACAATAGCATTTTTCTTTTTTTACTATTTATTAAAAAACACTCTAAGATTGGCTTTAACCATGTTTTTGTGAATATAATAACTTGAGATGCGATGAAAGTACTTTCATTTCACAGCGATCTTAGCGTTCAGCACTTTTTTAGGCTAGCAGTCGTCGGTACATAAGGTTATTTAGTGATTTTTTAGAAAGTATTTTGACCTTTGTATATGCTATGCCAGCTTAATGTTCATCTTGCAATTAATGTTTTTAACTAAGATACAGACTGCAGAATTTCATGTATAGTATGCGAGTATATAAAAATGATATGCGATATGAAGTAAATCTGATTTCTTTTCAAGTTTACTACACGTTTTTCCATGTTGAGTATTCAGAGACAATATTATCGGTTTGGGAATTGGAATAATCTAAACTCACACGAAATGATGATGAAATAATTGAGCACCAAAGTAAAAGAACAAAAGCTATTTCAATTAATATGTTCTTTCAATTAAGTATACTAGCGGTTATAAATAACAGAAACCAATCGAAATAGCAAATGAACCGCTGGAAATTCAAGCTGCCACAGTGACATGAAAGATTTCTTATTCAGGGTCCTGCAATTAATTACAACTAAATAGAGGGACCATCATTATGACAGGAGAGAGGGCTGACAAAAATAAACTAATTACATTATCTGCCAGAATGATTTGTCTCTCGTCTCAATCAAAATGAATGATTTTTCGGTGTTAGACACTTTGTGCTGAAGGCTTGGAAATATGTCCCACAAATCACAACAGAACATGTTGACAGCACACGTTAACAAACTGGTCCTGCCGGTATGCAGCGACTCTTGAGTAAGCCAGGGGCAGGAAGCGAAAGGAGAAGGGCGGAGAAGGAAGGAGGGCAACTAGCTCACTGTTTATGCATTTTCCTAATGAAATGCAAAGAAACCAGAACGAGCTGGCATAGCATAACAATATTTCAGTCCTGTCCCGTGAGCTCAAGCTATCCTTCTTGCAATAGGCAGTGCAAGTTTCAGAAGTGCTATTGTCGGATATACTTGTTGTTGCCGTTGTGGCTGAGTGATAATTAAATATTTGTTCTTTCTAGTAGCTATTTGCTTTGATTAATAGCTAACAAAAAATGAGAGGACGGCTCAGCCGACATTTGGATCAGTTATTGTGAGCGGTTGAAGGCTGAAGGTTTTTAATATTCAAAATTTCCCCAATTGCTTTTGCTTCTATTTGTTCGGTTTTATTGGTTTCGTAAATTCAAAAAGATACTTCAGAACGATAATGCGTTTCGGATTTCGCAATTTGGTACCTTTTTTTGTTCAACTGAGCCCCAACCATAGTATCTTTATTTTGCTAGTGTGGTGTGTCAACCGCATATTCACTTTGCATATTGACACGTTTCCTAGTGAGCATGAGGAATTTATTATTTCTTATGCTGTGCTTCAAGGCGCCAGACTGGCAAACCAGTTGGAAGTCTTGCATGCGAAGGGGTCAGCAAGAGACCGCAGGACCGACTTGACCTCCAAAAGGCTCCGCAGCTGCAGTTCCGGTCAGGAAGACGGCGACCAGACACGTCCCCTTCGGAATCCAAATGCGTAAAACCAAAGAGCGAACAAAATGGCACCACAACAGCGGAAATACGCAGGGACTCTGGGGTCAGTTGAATGATTTCAGTTGCACCATAGCGTTATTAAGTCAAGTTGTAAGAGCATAAGCCGCAACTTAATGTCCAACTTGGGAGTGCAACAGTGGACGCCTCGCCTGGGACAACAACACGGGCCGATCAATTATCCGAAAATACCAACACACAAAAGCAAGCCCGCAATAAGAGTTTAGGGTCTGAGGATGTGGCCGCTGCTGTTGGTCACCAAAAAGGAGATTGCGCTTTTGCGGTTGTGTTTAGTTGACTTCCGGCACGTCTGCCCCAGACTCACAAGCCGTGCAAGGGGCCCAAAGAAGTCCTACGCCAATTATGCGTCCAGCTCCACTGCAACCCCTTTATGTCCCTGTCTATGTTATTTTCATAAACAGACGCTATCCCCGCTGTCAATGCCGTAGCCGTTCCACTCATCACCCTTGTCACTCCCATTGGGATGATGATCATCAGCTTCAGCCTCCAGGCCGTAGGTGTTGGCCACCCTCCGTTCGTAGTGCCCCAGGAACCCCACACACCCCTTTTCCCTAAGGTGTGATGAAAATTATACGCTTTTGTGTTTATCCTCCAACCACGAAGTCTGGTCCGGTTCTGGTGGATCCCAACCTCCTGCTTTGCAGTTTGATGTTTTGCGGTTGTGTTTACGTTGTCCTAGGTCCAGAAATGCTCAGCCTAGTGAAATGCCCTCCCAAATGCTTGGCTTTAATATTTAAAGGGCGCTTTTAGCCCTGAGTTTGTCCATTATACCTTTGGCATGTTATTGTCCTTCGCTCTGCGGTTCCCAGCCAATGAATAAGATTTTCACAATGAGAGCATCGTACGATGGGCATAGTTTGGTCCCAGTTTGCATAGTGGCTTGTCACGGAGGACAAAGGTGGAAGGTGCTAGACTTCACCATATGATTAGCTAGTATTCAGTTTAAATATTTTTCAGTTTTGACAGTCGTTTGGGTATGTAATTTTTTTTGCTGTTGTTTTCCCGTCTTAATAATGTAGTAAATCTCCAAGTAAGGTGAGGCAAAACCAAAATGATTTTTCAGCAACAATAGATTTTTACAATTGTTCTCCCCTCAAGCGACAGCCTTGGTATTAATTTTCCTTCTTTTGAGAGAGGTGACAATCCGTCCGATGGTGTTATCATTTGTTATGTTATTGGCTTCCACATTTTGCAAATTGCTTATTTAGCAGTGCGTAAATTTCACATAGTCCTCTGCCAGTTCATCTTGCGCCCGACCTGCCGGTCTCCTCTTACGGAGACCACACACATTCTGTCATTCTTTCCCTCTCTCTGCCTTCGCTTGCCCAATGAATTTTTTGCCACCCTGCATAGTTCTAGACTCAAAGTTAACAACGTGTCAAGCGGTTAGGTCTTCTCTCCACATCATTCCATTGGAGCTCAAACTTTATCCTACCCACTTGCCGATGGGTGGGTTGTACGGGGTCAAATGGGCTATGATGCCGAAACAGGTGTGTTTCAGTGCCACCCATTCCGCTATTTTTCCAAGTGTTTGAAAACTGTCAATGCAGTGCATTTTTGCCATTACGTCGAATCTTTCTACTTTCCACTCTTTCCCCGGCTGATTCTTCGTTTTAGCTCTCATCTGCCCCCAGAATAATATTTGCTTTTCATCCTGTGTCATTTGCTTCCAGCCCGGTTTTTATGCGGCGCCTAATTGCCTGCTATACTTTGCAGCACTTTTGGAGAGAGTTTCTGGAGCTATTCGAGTGTAGCTATAAACTTTTTACGGCTAATATTTTCTGAGGCTTTTAATTAGGCGAAATGGTCGTAAAAATTGATTTATTGCCCATGATGGGAATTGTTAATTGGGGACTTTTCAACGGGTAAAGGGCTATATGGGCGAATAACTTACCTAGACATTCAAGCCATTTCTGACATGTCAAGATAATTTCGATCTAATTTATTAAGTTTTTGTTTCTTTACAGCTCCCTTCCCAGCGTGACCCCACGTGAACATAATGAAGAGGGTTGCATGAATCAAGTCTGTATTATGTGCCATATAAAACAACTCTGACGCGTACGATAGCTTATCATTAAAATGTATTAAATAATTTTTAGATCAAAACAGTTTAAATAGAACGATAAATAAAACTGCACATCACCTTACTTTAAGACTTACATCTTTCGGGCCTGAGTCAAGGTCGAGAAAATTCAACTGGCATGGCCACTAAATGGTTCAGCTTTATGCAAATTGTAGAGCTCTCCAGAGACTTAAGCCAAAAAGCGATTAAACGTCATTAGCATTATAGTAACATTCAACTTTCACGTCTGCGACTGCCTTCCTGATCCTTGCCCTGGCTTTGCTCTGTCTCGCCCACTCACCAGCCGTCCTTCTGTCTGGATGGATGGACAGCCATTCATCTTCACGGTAACAAGTAACAACAACATCGCAAAATGATTATAGTCCGGTTTTAATTGTAATTAAAGCGATTATTACGGCGGTGTACTGTCGCTTTTTTGAGTTCCTCCATTCCTGCTTCCATTTTCTTGTGCCCTCTTAAACTCTGAGCTTAATCTATGCTTCTTGGGACCGCCAGCTTATTTTCAATTTAAAATCCCTCCAACTTTTTCTATTTTCCTGCTCGACTTTTGTTACCAGGCCTAAGGGGTGAGCCGAAAACTGTTTCGTATTCCACATAGAAGTTATTATAACCGTTACTCGTAGAGTAAAAGGGTATACTACACTCGTTAAAAAGTATGTAACACGAATAAGTAAGCGTTTCCGACCCTATAAAGCATATATATTCTTGATCAGGACGAATAGCGAAGACGATTGAGCCATGTCCGTCTGTCTGTCCGTCTGTCCGTCCGTCCGCGTTTCCGTATGAATGCTGAGATCTCAGGAACTATAAGAGATACAGAGTTGAGATTAAGCAGGAAGATTTTAAAGGTTCATACCCAGCACAAGTTGATTTCAGCATCCTGCCACGCTCTATTACGCCCACAAACCGAGGAAAACTGTGGCATCCATAATATTGTAGTGTATGTCATCGTTTGACCTTGTAAAACATTTTTGTCAATATCTATCGATTTCCCAAGGCTTTTTAAAATCAAAGGCCTCACATGGACAGTGACCATCAGTTACATAACCATCAGTTACACCATCAGTTACTTAACATGCTTTCTCTGACAATTGGTGGCGCTTTGTGAATTTCCACTATCATAATGAATATTTTAAAATCGTATAATACAGTAACAGGTATCTTATAGTCGCAGCCCTCGACTATAGCGTTTCTTCTTGTTTTTACTCGTTTTTGGGATGAGACAAGGAAAGAAGATCGTTATGCGGCTGATGAGTAAGTAAGTGGTGCAGTAAGTTTGTGTTATGGCTTGTAGCAACCTTTGTATGGCGTGTGTGTACCTGCCGTAAGGAGAAAGGTAAAGAACTGGAATAGCTTGCTAGGATTAAACATTTTCTTAAATGCTGAGATGCAACGAAAGATAATTAATATCATAATTTTCCTGTTTGAAGATGGTAACCTCGTTTCCATCAAAAGTTTGTGTACTTAATTTAGCTTTCTTGGTTTGTGTTAAAGCTTCAGTTCCCTTCACTTCTGGAAATCCCTATAAATAAAAAAAGATGGTGTTATTCTTATTGCAATATTTCCCAACAGAGTTAAGTAGCAAAACTGACTTCTCATAATTACGAATAATGTCCGGGGTGGAGAAAGGCTTGCTGAAAAAGTAATTAGTGGTGTGAAATTAGTGTTATCCCAGTGAGCAACGAAACGCGGATCTGGGGGCGAATACGGATCCAAAGTAAAATAAAACACACTCTGATAGTTCTTTAATACGTGCTTTTATCTATTGATGTATGAAAGCCACGCGCAGATGCCACACCTCCCGCAAAAAGTGCTTCATCAGGACCACGTCCTCCAAACCATGCTAAAAGTTGCCACCTTTAGCGAGGTGAATGCCTGCGACATTGGCTCCGCAAAGGGGTTTTTTGCACGTCTCTCAGGTAACTTATAATATTTGAAATAATTTTTATAAAACATAAAAAATTTATTTGGTATTATTCCACTCAAAAAGCCTGGGCTCACCCCTTTTCACACCCGCCTCAGGCTTTGACAAAGCCATCCCCCGAGCTTAAATCGCTTTTTGGGTCAACAGTGGCGTCTACACTCTGAGCTGCACTTGTGAAGATGATTCGCGCATTTTTATGAAATGTTCAAATTCCAATTAGTGCTGATTGTTTAATTTAACGGGAACGAACGGAACGTGTGTATCAGTCTTAAAGGCTTTTTGTACACAAGCTCTAATTTTTTTTGGCTCTAAACAGTCATTTCGAAGGGAAAAACGACCAGCGAAGAGGTTTACGAGGCAAGTATTATTTATATCAAGATAATTCTCCCCAATACACCCGGCTACGGAGCCAAATCCTTTTGTTGCTATTGAGATGGAAACCCGATGTAGTATTGGTATGCAGCACGGAATCGTATTAATTCAAAATATAAGTGGGTATCGCAGGAGATCTCGATTTCTGCATTCCTTTCCGGTACTAAGCTTCGCTTTCGATATATTTGTTTTTGTTGCATGTGTCAACGCCCATGACCAATGCAGAACTTTCGTCTGGGGGAACCTTTTGGCGGCGATGGCATTCTTACGGCTATAATGTGCACATACGGCCGACTACCAGCCTGAGCCCATTCCGGAGGCGAGCAGCCATTCGCAGTTCCCCTCCAAAGAAGACACCGGGCTGCTGCCGATGCAGGCGAGCCTTTGGCTCCTTCAACGGTTCTCCCAACGTATGAATGCCTTTTAAATATTTAAAGGTATCGAAAGGTTGCCTCAATGCATATTATAACAAATGGAACGTCAGTTTCATGCGAAAAATGCAAACAGAATTGACATCACAAGGATGGCTGTTGCCAGTCCGAACAATCTATGTGAGATGAGCGACAGACGAGGAACCATGGCTGGCACGTGACAGGCCTATGGCCATAGGGTGCCCTTCTGCTTCTGCACAATTTCATTATGGAATTTCATGCGTGGGTCCAGAGGACTGCAGTGCATTTAATTTGGAAGCTCAAGTGGAGTTCGTCCACATAAAACAGACATTTCATGGAGTTCAGGAGTAGATAATAAGCTACGACAGACATTAAGTAAAATTGTAGAAAGCCATTTCTCATTTCTCAGTTGCTGAAATAATATTATTTCGTTGGAGATTCAGCCTTAATCAAGCGAAAACTCGTTAGCAAAAATGAGGGTCTCAAGAAGCGAAAAACTGAGAACTAAAAACTGAAAAAACGCCTGAAACTGCGTAGCTTTACTGGCGCGTTCTAGACAAAAAACCCTGTGGCGTAATTTGCGAGGTACATAGATAAAAATTGTTTATTGAAACGTAAACGAGCGAGAAAAAAATTGAATTGCTCTGCTCGCGCTTTCATCGCCCTCCCATATATTTGTACAGCTCCAGTGGCCTGAATTTAATTAAAAATGCAGGCAAAATCTGTCTGCCTGCCCATCAGCTGCAGAGTAGCTGTGTACAGTGCACTTGAGCTGTCAAGGCAGTGCAGACGCAATAATTTTCATGTTAGATGCCAAAAGCGTGCGAAATGTTTTCAACTATCAAACAATAGGCCCGAAACGGTAATGGAAGGGGTAGCCACAAAGGGAGCTGGGCAGGTTTGGGTAGTTGTTCTATCACCAGCGCCAACTTTATTCATGGGGTAAGGGGCGGAACTGGTCTGAGCTCCCCGCTGCCAGGTTTTGTCTCGTGTAAGACAGAGGCAGAATCAACAGTTTATAAATAATAATTTTCCTCGCCTGTTCACAGAACCTTCTGCCGTCACTGGGAAAGCAGCCAACACACGGGCGCAATAGGGATAGGAAAGATGGGAGTGCAAGGGTCGGGAACCAAGGCCACCTTTTCCTCGCCATCAAAAATAACAATAAGCAAAGTACAACAGCAAAGTGCGCAAAGGAGGAAGTCGGCGAGTTGCTTGAGAAATGCCACCGGCAGTTGATAAAGTGCCGACAGCCAGCCGTTGCCAGGCAATGAAGTTGGCACGTCCTTCCAGGCTCCACCACCCACCCACCTGGGGCTTGTCCTTGAGGATGGTCACACCTGTCTCTTTGGGATCTTTACCGTTTGTCTGCCCACTTCTCATTGTTTCAATTGTTTGTCATCTTTACCCCTTGTCCCCTCTAGCTCGGAAAATTTACGACACAAATTTTACCATTGCTCCCGTTCTTGTTTAATTACCTAGGCCTGGCTCGTTTGGGTTCTTGTCGTCAATTTTTGGGGCAGTTAATTCAATTAGGCAAGTATATTAGAAGGAGGTTTCTCTGAGAGTTGGCTTTCCTTGTTCCTATCTGATTTCCCTTCGTTATTAATGACGGCCCATTAAGATAAGGAATTACCATTCGGTAAGAGGCCTTTTAGCCTTGCTCATTTTGTATCGTATTTGACGATGACGAGCCCTGCTAAACAGCACTAACGCCACCATAGAACGAAGAACTTAGTTTCTACGAAGCCGAAAAAATTGCGCATTGTTGCAGCTGGCAACGGGGCAAAGAGGTAAGCGACATTGCCGTGGAACAGTTATTGTCATCAGGATGCGGCAAATATGCCACTTTTATGGCATGCATCCGGTTGCCGCCATCGCATGTGGCTCCTTGCTAGTTGCTCGGAGCGCAGTAGGATTCGTGTAGGGACTGGAGACGGTAACAGTCAGGAGACAACATGAGGCAGGCAGTGCGGCGGATGTAGTTGGTAAATTACAATGGTAACCTGTGCAAGAGGGCCATGCAAAAACACAAGTGCCGACGCAGTTTGGATACCCTTTGCGAAACATTTTAGCGAAAAGTTTAGGATGGCAACTCTCCGGGTCTGAGTGGGTCCAATGCACAGCATATATTAATTTCGAAGTTTGGCTTAAAAATCTCAAGGTGCCACCTAACTCTACGACTCGCAGTCGGTAGGGCTAAAAAGCACCATTATGCAGAGTGTGTAACGGTAAAAGCACCTGAACGAATTCCCAAATGGCATCTTGGATATCGATAGTAACAGTTGCAGTTACCAAGAGATTGGCTGATGCTCCACCATCTGTGGCATGCTCAGGATTTTCGTGTGGCACGCGCACGCGTTGTCCCCACCAAGG